ATGTGTAGCCTTTGACCATGCACACACATTTATAAAGCTAGCTACTATTTTTGTATCTGTGTGTAAAATCATAGAAAATGTGAATACTGTCAGGGCATGTGGTCAAAACCAGTTGTCTGTCACTCTCTTATCCAACACTCGAATGAACTACAAGACATCGTGTTCACAAGCTAACATACCGTATGTTTAAAGAAGTCATTTTTACCAGTCTACACAATCAAATAATTGCACCATTCTTGTATACTTTAAGACAAGTGGATAAGTGAAAGAAACATTCAACACAACAGTCTTGGATAGGGTAAATCTAATTAGGCTGGCCTTCCAAATAAATAGTAAAAACATAACACAATAATATCACTAAAGAGCGGGTCAGCTCTAATGGAGATAAGCAGATGCTTTGTTATTGACTGCTGTTCCAGTCCCAGGACTCACTGAGCAGATAACATCAATGGAAGAGTAGGGTGGGGCTTCAGCCTTTGAGTCATGATACATAAACCAGCAAAATGGTAAAAGCCTCAGAGAGGTGTCCTCTACATATTCTACCCATGCATGTATTATCTTATACAGGCCTACTATTCTTGTCAACGGTTTGTATTTTTACTGAGCTATGGAGAAAATGAACATAAGAAGCAGCCCTCTGATATGTGCTTCTTGAATGTAGTTTATCAGTTTATTTCAGATGCTGCTCTGTTAATTTGGGGACGAGGAGAATGAGAACCTGAAAGCAATTGTTACTTCTTACTAATAGTGTAGTCTTTAATATTGTGGATACAACAGACTAAAGTGAATGTTTTTGACCTTTTCACACATTGCCAAAAAATACTCACATCCTCCAAACCAGGAGAATTCCTGTCTACTTGTTTAAGTAGTTGGCATTGGTTAGACGAGTGTGAATACCATTTTGGTTGTTACTCTTCTGCTCTGTGTCATGCAGTAGACCTAGATTCCTACTTCACTTTTAAGGGTAAGGCAGGCCATTTTCTATATTAACAGTATTTTAAACAGTCACCATACAGATACTAAAACCAACAATGAATTGCCAGTATCTGTATGTCTCTCAGTCCTGGCTTAGCTTTTTCATTTGTGTGTTTCTCTGCCATGTTTTAATGGTTTTAGAACATCAGTGGAGATCTGTGGCACAAACGAATAAGCTAATCCGGGACTGACAGACATTAACAGTGAGCAGCGGCAAATCATTGTTGGTTTTATTCTCTGTATGGGCAGTGTTGAAAATATTGTTAATATAAAAAATGACCTACTTTATCCTTTAAGGAAGTTGATAAACATATATCATAGTTTTTATACATCACTTTCTACCCACTACTTTTAGGTTCCTTTCAAGTATGTTGTCTACACTGAAAGCCATATTGAATGCTAGCCTGATGTCTTTTAGGAAGCCTGACGTTGAACCATGAATGGTTAACAAGGTGTGTTTTACGGAAACTGAAAGTGAAGACAGAAACTGGGTAGTTTGTTTCTTATTGGTAAGTGGGCCTTTAAGGAGCCAATAATTTTGTCTGAAGAGGACCAGTTGTAACATGTAGGCCCCTGGTCAGAAAGTCATAACGAAGCTTGGTTTGTATAACTGCAGTTTTTTTTTCTCAGCAGCTTCTTGAATTTTCTCCATAAATACAAAATTTCACTTCCTTCAGTCAGCGTTTTATTTTTCTTTGATAAGGCAACTTGTTTCCATGGCTCTGAAATGTTCTCGAATAGTCTATTGAACTGTTGCCTTGACACTTTGCACAAAGTCACAGCTGTTTCAGGAGGTCTGTTAATTGAATTATTTGTGAAAAAATCTGATTTGTTGCCTGAAGGAGCAGCTGTTTTTTGTGGGATAAGTAAAAAAGGTCTAAGGTGAAAGTCAAAGCTTAACAGGCACACAGCTGAAGCTACAGGCTGTGATTTCCACAATGTTTGTGGTGTGTTGCAAGATATTTGTCTCAGTTAGATAGGGATATTACAGTAGTCCAGGTATTGCCAGTTTGTGCCAGCACATTGCTTCATCTTGCTGCGCTGCATTTCATGTGGACTCTCGGGGAATGCAAAGCCCCTGTTTTGTTTTTTCTCCTGCTGCCCCTCACATGCCCTCTCACAAACTGCCTATTCTGCTTATTCCACTCAGCTTTTGTGAGGAGGCCTATTCATAATGTCCATGTGGTATTTAGGAGTTCCACTGAAGCGTAAATGTTTTTTATGAGTACTCACCTGATAACATCAAAGCATTAACTAGTACTCTCTGAGCCTGGTTCAACATTGTGTCCAAATTCCTTCCTATGTAGTAGGATTAAATTAATGAGCATTAACAATGGGACCAAGATATTTTCTAGCTGAGCTCATAGATTTGGTTGTTCCTGTGATGTGCTGGCATTTAGAAATAATCTAAAAATATGTGGGATATGGTCTCATGAGGTAGTTTAAATACTACCAAACAGTCACATGAATGTGTTTCCCTCTGAAATATAGTGAAGTCAAAGTATGAAGTAACAAAAAATGAAAATACTCAAGTACGGATACCTCAAAATTGTACTTAAGTACAGTACTTGAGTAAATGTACATAGTTACTTTCCATCACTGATTTTAGCAAATACTGTACTTGTCTAACATTACTTTACATAAAGAAAAACAGAACAGCACAGAGATCACATTGGAAAACTCTTTTGGTATAGACTTAGTAGAGGGCAAGGTCTAACCTTGGATTAGCAAGCCCTGGATCGGGTTGTCTGTTTATGAGAAAAAATGTCCGGGTCTCTTTTGGCCAGCTACTTGTTTTCTTTGGCCAGTACACATTTGGCTTGTATGATCAGAGTTCATTGTTACTGTACTATCATTTAGGCCCATTGGGACTTCACCACACGGATTGCAAACCAAAACAATGAGCCCGAAAGCAGCCGAAAACTGTTACTTACATTGGTGTTAAAATAAAAATACTTAACAATATTTTAGTAACATTAGAAATTTGCAACATAATATGTGCATACTGTATACCCTGTTGCATAGTTAGGTTGTATGCCTTTCCACACCAGAAATTATGTACATCACTTACTGCCTATTGCAGTAGGCAGTGTAAGCATATGCGGCTATGGTAGACTATGCTTTATGGATGCGTTTTCAGTCCCTCAATAATAATATACCAACTAGTATAGATACACTGGAAAGATTTTTTTTATAAATAGATCATTATTTTTTAAATATCCTTGAAGATAACAGACACTTTGCTTTGCTGTAATGAAAGGGCATGCGTTCCCAATTAATAAGTGGACAAAATGGAAATTTATGTTTAAAGCTCTTTTATATTTGTGCCAGTGCTAAGGTGCCACATGAAAGCAAGCTTCCAGTGCATGCTTTAAGTCACTATTTGTAAAGGGATCAAGTTGCGTTATCAAAGTGGAAAGAGTCTCAAGAATTGGATAGTTTGGAACTGGTTGTTTATTTGAAATAATTATTGATTCCCAGTCACAATTCTGCACAATTCTTTCACCCTCTACAGTAGATACCAGTCCAGACTTCTCTTAAATCTGTCGTCAACCCATGTGCAAAGTAGTATAGGCATGTGTGAAGGGATACCAAAGAAACATGGTGCCGATGGTCTGCCCCACGACCGCACAGAGTGCTCTGCTGCCAACAGTGTATCCAGTAATTACAGACCAGAGCTGTGGAGACCCTGTTGTTCCCCAGGCTAGGCTGAAACTAAACCCCCTATTTCATACTTGGTATTTGCTCTTTCCAGTACATGTATACCCCATGTTTAAAAACTGTTATTTTTGGGCAGTAGCTTGGCTCTTGTGTTTATTATAGAGCCGGACTGAGCTGAAATGTAGAATAAATGTCCAGCATGTAAAAGGCAGTAGTTCCTGCTCTTTCCGTTTATGCATATTGTCCAATGTCTTGTTTAATCCTCCTGCTGTCAATATAGGCCATTTGATTAATGCTCCCTAATCTTCCTATTGCTCTAACTCGCACATGGTATAATGAGATAGTCATCAATTTTGCATTTTTAAATTGTACTGTAGGATATGAGATAGGAGGCTGATGAACTGGATCTTCCTCTTGAATTAATTGAGTGATTATAGTCACTTTTTCAATGACACTGTTGAAACTAAAATCTGATAGGATTTACCAGTAACAGTGAAGCTTGTAATTCTTATTGGAAAGTTTTCTGAGCCTTCCACCCCCAGGCCATAACACACAACACCACCAGGCTCTTCTTTACTGCAAAGCTGCTGTTGTTGTAAAGGACTCAGTCCTTGGGCTCCTCCTCTGAAGACTGTGTGGTCTGTGTCCTGGTGTTCTAATCATGTTAGGGTGGAAGTGACTGTGGGCTGTAACCGGACAACAGGATGTACAGTGCGGGATGACATGGTAACCTGATGGAGCCTGTAGATTTTGGTCATGATTTCTTTAGAGTGGAGTTTGACACACTCTAATTTACATCTAAACAGCTTTTTTTCTCCTCTAGTATATTGGTTTAAGTCATTGTAAAAGCTGAATTTGTCCCCCTCTCTTACTTGAGAGGGAAAAGAGTATTTTGCTGTTGACCTTTTGCTGTACATTTTGTGGGATCCTTCTGCTTTTGTTTGTGGCCTTCACTTCTTATTACACAGTAAGCTGTTGTTTTTCCCATGCACTCATTTTTGGTGTCACAATGGTCCAGTCAGTGTATGTGTGGTTCAACCAATTTTCACAGTTTGAGAGTTTAGACCAGTGTTTGAATGAGGGCCTCCCTTTACACAACTTGCTAATATTATTACCATATTGTATCTGTCCTGGCTCCACTCAGTATTACTGTTTCCACCCGACCAATGCAAACTCGACCTCAGCTATTCTCATGTTTTGCAGATAAAGAGTACTTTGGGGGTTTCAGAGCAATAAGCAGCACATCCATGAACCATTTTAAAAGACCAAGTATTAATAATGAAGTTAATTTTATTGATATGTGTATACAGTATGTTCTAATACTGATCACTTTGCTTTTTCTTCTCTCTTTTTATTACCAATAGTCACAATGAGCGCAAGGTGACCTGCAAGCATCCTGTCTCGGGCTTATCCTCACAAGACAACTGCATCTTTGTCGTCAATGAACAGTAAGTCTGTTGTTTATCCTTTAAGAATGCCACTGGGTAGCATTTTTGAACACTACGGTATGCTGTCAGAGCTCCTCATGTGGCAACAGCATTGCACGACTTGTTGCTCAGCCGGCATGGATTTTCACTTCTGCCCTTTTAGTTCAAAGCTCCTATTCAATGCTTCCTCAGTTGCATAACTTCATAAAAAGATTTTGTTGAAATAAGAACTAACCTGTTGTATGGAAATTTCACTTCTAGATATTTCTTACATGCTTATATTACTAGAGGTTTTATTTGTTGCAAATTTAACTGTCAAGGCAGTGTTGATGCCAAGGGGTGACAATAAAAATGCCATTGTATCATGTATATATCCGCCAGTAGGAGTGTCATGATTCACAGTTTGCTCCTTGTTTTGACATGGACATGACTTCGTGGCCTTTTCAACTGTTGTAAGTACAAGGAAATATCACCCAGCATGTGATCATCTACACTGCTTTCAGCACAAGAGTCATCACATGTCTGCCCATATGACTGGAGTGTATGACAGTCATCTTGAACTGATATTTTAAGGAGAACAGCGTTGTGAAACTGTTGCGCGAACCTTAGTCAGTGTCCACTTCAGGAATTATTAATATTTTCATTTTCAGATTTCAAGTGCTCTGTCCAGATTCTTGCAGGAGAAAAATGAGGGCAGATGCTGATCTATCTTTGCAGATTACCAATCATATTTACTTCTGTATCCCATCACAGCCCACACCATAACACTAGGCTCAGCTTTCATCTTCCACCTTAGCTGTCTTAGTTTAATGTTGTGCAACATGTATCAACTCCACTTATTTTCTCACTTCCCTTAGAAACCTGTAATGCCATATTTCCCATAATGTTAGAGAGTGGAACTGAAGTAAAAACAACTGATGTCAGTTATCTTGAGCAAGGAGTGCTAATTGAAATATGTTGTTTCAAGACATTTCACTTACATGTGGGAAAAAGTCCAATAAGATTTGGAGCATGAATTCCCCGATGGCTCATCATGGGCACCAGTTTCAGCTTTTTTCGGTATGTGGCTTTTAAAATTAAAACCCTGACTTTACCAGGATATTATATCTGAGCTTACAGTAGGAGCTGAACTGTGTTCAGCAGAGATGGAATAATCAAAAAATGGTTGTGAAGAAGTTTGTTGTGCTAGAGGTATCACACTACACTCTCTTGACACGTTCCTCCCTTCGCTGTGTGACTCTTACATCTCTTCTGTTTTCACACTGAGAGGCACCACATGCCAGTGCTAGACAATATCTAATTTATGTCGAAGTGCAAAATTCATCTCTATTAGATGTTCTAGAAGTTAGCTTTTGGCAGGCAGCATCAAAGTGATAAACCTCACTCATTGTTGTATTTAAGTTTAATATACTAGATTTCCATAAACTGTGGCTGTGGCTGTGATTTAGCAAAAGTAATAAGGAAGGACATTTTCATCATGGATGGCTTATAAAAGGCAAAGGCGGATTTTAGCTACCACAGGGATAAAGAGGCCAGGCTGAAAATCATTGCCTAATCTGCTCTTAAGTTTAAGTAAATCCAAATGACAAACTTTAGCTTCAATCTGGCAGCACAACTTTTAGTACCTGTCCAGTATAACATGTAAAGAACATAAACCCACCATAAGCTATGCCTTTTCTACTCTGAGAATGCAGTGGTATCCCAGTCTAGGAAAAAGTTAAATGTGTCATGATGTGTGAACTTATTTAAGGATCTGTGGTGAATTGTGTATTTGTGCAAGGGTGGGGCAGCCTTCAGTGAGGAGGCAACACCTAACAGGGTAAAAGAAAGGCAGATACTATAGCTGCACCACATAATGTAGTGTTTGGGTAGTTGCCATTGGTCAGGGCAGACATAAAATTATCCAGTCAGTAAGAATGACTATCTCATGCTTAAACAGTCTTGATACAGACATTGTAAACCAGAACAGACCAGAAGAGGTGACTCAGTGATGCCTCTTATCACACTTATGGTGGCCTCTGCTTCAAGGTTAAGTCTAGTTGGTAGATGACCACAGCTGGATAAATGCATGGCAGGAACACACAGAGTTGTGTGGTTGTGCACCGTGGTACATTAGCCTCTTCCAGTCTGTTTTAACAGATGTTATTGGTTATAAACACGATAGGTCTCATATATATTTTTGCTTCACTAAAAACTGAAATATTTTGAGCTTCATAAACACAAATATTAAGGCGGAAGTGTTGCATTGAAGTGGATACAGTTGTACAGGTGTACCTAATAAAGTGGCCAATCAGTGTATGTTCAAGTTTCTTACAACCTGGATGTTGGCTTTTCCATTTTTTAGACATTCAAACACACACCCACACCCACAAACAACTAGGCTATTAATGTGCATGTAACCTAGTTGGTGCAACCCTTTCCAGACGACAGACAATAGATTCAGCCCATAACAACAGAAAATACTAGTTTTCCTCTTTTATCAGGTAATACATCACGAGGTGTAGATTTGTGTTACAGAGACTAAAACCGACAACGAATTGTCACTACTCTTAGATCAGTTTGTATGCCTGTGCCATAGATCTCCTTTGTTGTTCAAAAATTGATTAAAAACGCATTATGAAACACACCGCTGCACTGGGTGACATGTTTTATTCATTATGAAACCCCAGACTTGACCATAATTTCCTGAAGATAGCATGGATCAGAGCCAATTGCGCATGCACAAGATCTTGCGTGACCTCTCAGCTTTGTTTACATTTCACAAGCTTCTCACACTTGGGTCTGGGGTTTGCTAATGAAGAAATATGTCACCGTTGTACAGCAGTGTGTTTCACTGCTGTGTTTTTAGTCTGTTTTGAACAACAACTGTGGTCTTTGGCATAGACAAATAAGCTGATCCAGGACTGACACACTGATGGACATTAACCATGAGTAGAGATAATTCATTGTCTGTTTTAGTCTCTGTATGGACATTGTTGAAAATGCAGTTAAATGAAAATGACCTGTCTTATTCTTTAAAACATTTCAACATATGTGTTTGTTAATAACTGTTGTTGTTGTTGCACACTAACAGCAGACTGTAGGTGGTTTGAATGGTATTTTGCCTGATGATCTGTTATGTATTTGCATCCCAGCATCCTGGAAGGTGCACTTCACTCTCTGAACCCTTTGCTGTTCTCATCTAAACCTTTATGAACTACTGACCACAGGGAGGTCATTACTCACTTTTGCTGAGCTGATCATAAAGCTGTACATCCTTGATGAAAGCTGAGCTGTGGGACAAATATTTTATATCGCTACAGTTCAGTTCACTTTGATGCCAGTTTACTGATTTCCCAGGAGGCATTAGGTTCCTGGGCCTTAATAAAAGCTTTCTTGCATTAAAAAGTATGATCACTGAGCACTTTGTGGTAAACAGCTCACTTAAGCTTTCATTTTGTTTTGTTTGAACACACCTTCATGTACTGTCACACGTGGATATACAGGCCACATGTACACCAGTAACAGTCCTGACTTTGTGTCTTTGCTGTGCTAGAGCTGGGTGATATGACCAAAAAATCAATATCATTATTTAAAATCTTAACATAAAAACAAATAAACTGACAATAAATGTAACCATTTTTATATTTTATAATAAATTAAGAGGCATTTTACCCTCTTCTGGGGCAACAGGGCAACTGTAAGTATGCATTAATACAATCTAAGAAGAATCATATTAAACACACTAAACTATTAAAGCTTTAGTACCAGATCAACATGTTACATGCTGCCTGATTTTGAATGATTTAGAGCGTTCTGCTAATTTAGGTTGTTAAAGGGCAGCTCTGAGAAGCACCATGATTTTGCATAACAAAGGAGCATGAATACACACAAGTCTGTTGACTGCACTAAATATTAGTATCTGCACATTTTAGATTTATTGCCCAGATCCAACTGTATGTGAACCTGTGACGGTGGTAGTTGTATATACTGATGCCATTACTGTGTGTGCTTGCCTTATCTTCTCATGTTTTGTTTATTTAAAAGAAAACAGGCTCACCACCAAACAAAAGTGTTTTAAAGCACCCCCATTTCTTTAGAAATGCTGTGTGGTCGTTTTAAAAATGCACCCTCAGCCACTTAGTTCAACTATTATCTACTGTCTGCACACCTGAATGAGATTTTTTGTGTAATTTTGATGTAATTATTACAGTTGTTATAGCAGTATTAAAGGAAGTGTAGGATGTATTGATCTGGGAAAGAAAATAATGTCATTATTAAGTATTATGTTTTTCAGGGTGGAATCATATTGTTGACTTAGTTAATGTGGAGCTGTGGTAAATACAAAGATAGTTATTTAGTGCTGATATTTTATTTGTCTGTTACTGTATCCCTAAATTACAGTCCTATCCACCACAGCCTAGCGCTATCACTAGACAAAGATCAACCTAAGCAAGAAAATAGTAATTTAAAGTAGGCAGACACTTAAAACAACATGTTGTGGATAGCAGTGGTGGTGCAGTTGTTTTGAATTTTCATGCTAACATTTAAATGGAAGCTTGTTAGAGCCTTGTTTCATTTCAAAATATAGATGTGAAGAGTGCAGGCAATGTATGTACAGTAAATGGTTGACAAATAAATGCCGGAGAGGCGCAGATGGGGAAATACTTGGGAACTGAATGTTGGTGTTTCTCATCATTGCAACTTGATGTGTTATGTTTGTTTTCCTCATTTTGTTTCAGTGATTTGTCAAGTTTGTATCAGGCATTATCACTCTGATTTTAGTAATACATTACTAAAGCATTGTAGCTTACCTTACCTTTCCCCTACTGCTCTCCATCTGCCTGCTACCAGTTCCAACTAATTTAACACACACACACACACACACACACACACACACACTACCTTTTCAGTTTCACTGTATGCAGATTATCATACCTAAGCTATTATCAGCAAAGCCTCCAACTCACGCAAGCATGCTGCACCCCTGAGCTTGGAAATGGTCTGTTGTTGGAATACAGGATCAAAAAGAGCATTATCTTTCCTATAACAAAGTCGGTCCGTTTTCTCCACCCCTCCCCAACTTGGTTTTGAGTAAGCACACCACTGATTCTGTTTCAGTTAGGATTTTGCCTGTCACTGGAAGTGCTGACAATCTTTGGAGCTCAGATGAAGGCAAATGTCAGTGGCACCGCCTCGCTCTGCTCAAGCAGCTGTATTAGAGCTAAAGTTGTGTGCCCTTCAAGTCTAGAGAGCATAAGTCATCCACTGTTCCAAACTGTGACTTCCTAGGTGGTGTCACCTCTACACAGAACCCCTTGTTTGGTCAGTCATTACAGACAGCCGCTGAAGACTAGTATAAAAAATGCTTCTCCTTCTGTGAAATTCTCTAGTTTAAGTCAATAAACCTAAATGCATAAGTGTTACTGCTTCTTGCAACTAAGCTTAGTCTTGTAACAAACTAACTTTCCTTCTGAATACAGGTAAGAAAAAGGTAGACTATGATTGTCGTACCTGCCTGCAAGTATCATCAGACCTGTCACTGCTACACAGCAATGAACATCCTGTGTTGCCTGCTGTTGTGAGCTGAGCTGATGTTATCCCTCGTAATCCCCTTTTATGTTTGTGCACCTTGAGTATAATAGCATGAAGTCATTAAATTGTTTTTGAATTGACTCATTTCCTTTTTTCAGTGTAATATTCTTGTTGTAGTATCTAACGCACTGATAGATAAAAAGATTACACTAAGTACATGTAAATTATGAATGAATAGATTGATTAAATGAGCCCCTTATTTATGCTGAATGGTGCCATGTATTCTGAAGTATGTCAATGTTGCATCACTGATCAAATGAGGTTGTTAGATGGGGGAGTTTTCAGTGCACAGTTCTGTCCTTATTCAGTTACCTGAAACCAGTGTATCTGAGAGATTACACTTCTTTCACTGCTGCAGTATTTCTGCCCCGTTCTGGTTTTCCTTTCTTGTTCCCTCTAGACCACAACATTGTTCCCTTCCTAAAGAATGTAGGACATCTCAGTGGGCCAGAGACAACTTATTTCACAAGGTGTTATATCTTGTGGCATTAGATATTGAACTTAATATGCTTGTCAGAGACGTACTGGCCCGATTCTCTGCTGAATTCCAGTATGTCCGGCAGACTTTGTAAACCATTTAAAGCTATTCAAGAACTGGAAATGTATCCGCAGTGACATGGTGGGAGTAATTGGATTGGTTCAAAGACGTGTTGAAATCTCATTATAACAGAGCTTTAACTTCAGTGGAATGGTATCGGAACAGATGGCTGCTTCCTCCAGTTTCCCTTCTCTCATTGAGGTCACTGAACGTACAAATTGACAGTGTATATTTCTGACTGATGACTTGCATATGTGCTCTTGGTTATACTTTGTTTCTTTTGTTTAGATCTGCCTCCAAAGTTCCAGTGAATGAGAAGAAGATACGGCAATTAAGCACCATGAGTGAGGCCTCCAACGACACAGGTGGCTCAGACCACGCTGCAAACCCCAGTAGCCCAGCACCAAGAGTAAGTGACACACATAAAGATGGTCATCAGGCATATTTGTTGAGATACAGTAAGAAAATAATGGAAAACTACCAGGAGGATTTTTTAATTAGTTTGAAGTTTTAGGAAAAAGTAGACATATCTTTTGTGGATCAAGCTTATTTTTTTTATTTACTTGTTCATACTGTGTTTCTAGCCCTCAAGACCTTCCAAAAAAGTTCATAATTTTGGGAAGAGATCCAACTCTATCAGGAGGAATCCCAATGCCCCAGTAATCAAGAGAAACTGGCTTTATAAACAGGTGAGCAAGAGTATATGACTTCTCATAAAACCTTACATATTAGTCTGATAAATCAATGTAGTTAGAAGAAGATACCAAAAACTAAGTCATGGATTCCCATGAAATCTTACACTGGCATTCATGTCCACCTAAGGGGGAATTATAGTAACTTTGGTGGTCCTCTTACTCTATTTACTGCTAATGAGAACTGTCAGATATGTTTTAGATTCATTGTTTTGTCTGTGAAAGTCAAGAAAATTGTGAAAAATGCCCGCTATTATTTCTCAAAGACCCAAATGACATCTTTAATTTCTTATTATGTCTGACCAGTCCAGGACCCAAAGATGTTCAGTTTATTTATCTGTGACAAAGAAAAACATCAAGTCCTTATATGTACTGTATATGCGAGTAGTTAGAAACAGCAAATATATGAAACTTTGACAGTAATTGACTAATCATTGCAGCTCTAGTACTAAGTGTCACTTTTTCAACCTGACTGACCTAAACAAATCCGATGTGAGGCGGCGCAACAGTCGGCCTTCGGTGCTGCTGGTTCTTCAATGTTGGCTTGGTGTGTGTCTGCCTTAAGGTTGACATTCTCCCTCTCTATTGCAGCAACTGTTTTAAAATCAGCACAAAGGAAGCATTTGAGGTCTTACAGGATTTCATCATGTCTTTGTCCACTTTCTGCTCAGACAGTCAGCCAGTATGGGCACTGATTGAATACTAACCCCTCACAGCTCCTTTGTTACTTACAGCATGGTGAAAAGAGGGTGCTTGAAGCAGCTTGACCAGACAGGACTCTCTCATGCTTCATAAGTGGGGAACCCATTTAGTTTTGATTGCAGCCTCCCGGTGCAGTTGAGTGAACATATGATGGTTTCCTTTGGTGCAGCTGCCAGCTAGTATTTCTTCAGGGACCTTAATCAGGATGACATAGATCATGCAAAAGACCCACAAATCTGCAACCCTGAATAAAAGCTGGATTTGCACTTTTATTTTTCTGTCTCATTGAAACCTTAAAGCTATTGAAGTTCTTTGCTGAGGAAAAGCTGCAGTGCTTAAACTCATCCACTGGGAGACCAAAATGCCACAGTAATGGATGTGATTGGTGAAAGCCTAGGTTTTCTCTTCCAGCGTGAACAGAGCAAGATCTGACAGAGTTTTTGATACAGGTTTATTCACGAAACACATCGTAAAATGAGTGAATAAGAGCTTGGTTGTATGGAGGGAAGGTGATGAATTAACAGGCCAATTAAGTTTAGATCTTGCTGTTACACATCAGATGTGCCTCCATTATGAAGATACTGAACAGTATCTGGTATTGTGAATCTCCTTGTGTTGCACATGATGTTCCATGAAAGTGAATTTCCATTTCAAGTTAACTGCAGCCCACATGCTGCTGGACCATAATGACAAGGTTGTTGAGGTCCCTCCCCCTACATTTGTGCCCAAGTGGAATCCACGATTAAGGACACTGCTCAGATTATCCAATAAAGCAAACAGAGGAGTTCATACCCTTCAAACCCTTTTCCTCACCCTTCGTCCTTGTCAAGCAGCAGATTGAAGCCCCCTTTGATCACAGTGTTGTAATACTGAAGAACCACTTAAGCACAGGAGTTTTATTGTTTTTGGCCACTAAACAACATGCTTGTCTTTAGAGGTGAAAGCTGGTTAATGGGTTGAAAACACAGAGTGGAGTACTCTCATTGCTATGTTTGTTTCATACCAGAAATCAAATGTTTCCCCTGAGCCAAATAAATCACCCTTTTCAGTTCCATGAATATACAGTATGAAATGTCAATACAAAGGGGATGAGTTCAACACTGTCTTCTTATTAAAATAATACTTAGGTAGACAGTCTGTCAGCCAGGTGAAATAACAGATTATATAGCATATTTCAAAATTCAAGTAAAATCTGTTTCTTGTATGTGAAAGTGTGTGTGCGCATACACGGTGCGTGCCTGATGTTTCCTGTCTGCCTCTTTGTGACTCACTGACTAATAAAGGCAATAAAACATCAAGAAATTAAAAATTCTAATAAAAAGAATATTTGATTAGGTACTGTAGGGTCCAGGCATCCCTACTCGTCTGTAGAGTAACTATGCCCTCTTCCTCTTGCGTATTTGCAGGACAGTACAGGGATGAAGCTGTGGAAGAAGAGGTGGTTTGTGCTTTCTGACCTGTGCCTCTTTTACTACAGAGGTGAGTCCTGTCCTGACAGCTAACAACATGTTGCATTAGTGTGGCAGTAGCTTTCTCATAATACTTCAGAATACTTATGGCCTTCAGTGCCACAAGCCATGTTCTGGGTGATCGTTCTTCTGGCAAGCAGCCCGATAAGCCCAGCTGAATTTTGAATTGACTTTCCTGTCATCTGGTTTGTCATTTGAGAGATCATTTTTTCTCAAGCAGAGTTAGGGTTTTAAAAAGGCTTGAATGCAGCCATAATGTTGAAAGTGAAAGCAGAAAATTTAAGTTTATGTAACAAGTGTCTAGAGATTATGCTTTTTTATAGGGAGGTTGCATACTTATAAAATTCTTGGATTTAGTTGCATTAAACAAAGATTATCTTGCTAATATTTACAGACCCTCCTCTAAATCGAAACAGTTATATTGCCACCGTAGTCACTTTTCCTGACCAAGTAATAATTTTTTTTTGTTTTTTATTATGATTGAGGTTTAAACATAATATTTTATTTAGATGACTGCTAACAGTATTCATGATAGGCTTATTGTGGGAGTGCCGGTTTAGTTTAAGGGGTTTTTCCATTTAATTATTAATGTTTTGCCTCTGTCATGGATTACTAATCTTTGGATCAAATATTGATATAGCTGTGTTCAGTGTGTGTGTTCAACTGTGTTCTGCCTTGTTAAAAGAAATGAACAATATGAGTCAGTAAGGCTGTAATGTAACTGCCAACTAGGTGAACTGTTGCAGCTACAGAAGCGTTATATCTTGTGTGGCACATTTCCAAATATTACAGTGCCGCCTGCTCACTTGATGTGGATACAGTCATAATTTCTGCTGTTTAGGATGACATCTAGTTTGTGTTATTTCTGATAACTGTCAGTCTTCTTTCTGCCCACTGATGGACAAATGCCACAGACAGCAGCAGACCCAAAGGTCCAGGCATCTATGTATCGCCTGAGAGTGGGCAGAGAGATCATGAACTGTGTTGCCCCTCAACTAAGCACAGCTGCTCTCTGCTGTAGTTATTGTGGTGCACTACAATCAATCCTTCAAATTTTAGTAACATAGCTCCAGGGCAAATAGCTCCACCTCTAAGCTTTACATAGCATCTCCAGTCGACACACACTCAAACATGGAAACATACCAACAACAACACAGTTTGACAGTTTTGACATTGAATCAATGCATTATGATTTTGGTAATTGTTTTTTCTCTGCAGATGAAAAAGAGGAGGGGATACTTGGCAGCATCCTCCTACCAAGCTTTCGTGTGTCCATGCTGTCTGTGGATGATCACATTAACAGGAAATATGCTTTTAAGGTCAGTGTATGTTTTCATTCCTGTAAAACTTAGAATGTTACACTGCATATTTTTTGATTGAATAGTTTTAGACTATAGAAATGTAAGACATTAGCTTTTGGGGAGAAGATGTAAACTTCTAATAAAATGAGTTCATTAGAGCAGAGTGTACAGAGCCCCCCCAAAAGTAATTTTGATCACTGCTGTACAGTTTGAAGCGAGAAAGCGATTTTTCCTGTGGCGATCCCCACAACATTTTCTTAGCTTGTAGGTTTACTGTCCTTTGAGCATGTTTTGTGTTTACTTTGGAAATCATTTTCAGCTGATTGACAGTGAAGCAATGCAAGTCCTTTTTACCAATTTGAATTGCACACTGCTAACAGTCTAACAAGGCAAAGAATACATACCAACAGTTACATCTGTGCTGGCTGCGGTGTAGTATACTTTTAGTTGACTTGCAAAACCCAACTTACTGGGCAACAGGCACATTTTATGGGATCTCAGTGGTCTGTACAGTATTTGACTCAGGGTCCTTAACATGCGAAGAGGCAACAAAGTGGCTGTGCCAAATACAGCCAAACACAGACGCCCAGGAGTCTGCTCAAGGTCTCTCCCAACCACACAATCCACTCCTTTTCCTACTATGACTTCCTTTAGTTTACATTTGATTCACTCAGGCATGTAGTGACTTTTTGACTGCATATTTTTCATGCTAAACTTTTACTGTCTGTTGTTCTGGCCAAAATGGTCGTGTCATTGTAAGTTACTTATTTCTCAGTACTATTCTGAAGTAATTGGTCCACTGACAGTGTTTTTTGTTTGTCAGACATTAGTAAACAGGATATTGAGGTGTCACTAAAATTTTTTTCTCTTTTTTTGTCTGGCTTTATCATTATACTGGTTTGCTCACTGTGAGGGAACAACAACAACAACGGAACAATGTGTCTGTCATACGACGGATTGCTTGGTAAGGTCTACAGTAATGCGGCAGAGTTACTGCCCCAGTCTAATTGTATGCGTGAATCTCTGTTGATTTATGGCTTTATTTATGTGGATGGTGTTTCACAAACCAACATTTCTCACCATCAGTTGCTAAGAAATATGACTTGCATTAATCATGTCATTGTTACTTAATAGTGTCTTAAATCTCTACATTATTCTTATTTATTGATACACTACATAAAAGCAAGCAACACTGATTCACTTATCAGGCTACTAAAAATACTAAAAAAGTGCCAAAGTACCAAAAATTCCATGATTCACATGATTTTTTTTGTCCTCTCTTTTTCAGGTTGCTTTGTGTGTCACTGTTCTTGTCCCTGATCCTGTTCGTTGTCAAAACAGGCGACACATCCCAACATGCGGACATACTACTTTTGCACAGACACAGCCAAAGAAATGGAGTCGTGGATGAAAGTAATGACAGATGCTGCACTTGTGCATTCAGAGCCAGTCAAAAGGTTTGTGAGAACATCACTAGTGCAGTCACTTTTGGAGAACTGGGAAATTACAGCTGGTTGTTTCACTTTGAGAATGGTGAATCATTCATTTAAAATGCATTCCTAGGTTCATTTCTGCTTCCTGAGTTTTCTTTTTAGCATTTGTACTGAAAGCAAGTGCTTTTAAATCTGTCTGCTAAGCTTGTTCAATTCTTTGGTAACAGTTCAACACTTGCTTTTGACATTTCTGTTCTCTGGGTTTGTTGAAGAAGCTGTGACTTTATGTAACCTTTTCTACTACTGAGTTTATTACAGAGTAACATACACAAGCATGTCATGTGCATGTGGGCATGTGAGTGTTGTGATCGCATGGTACAGGGGATGTTGTGCCCAGCTGCGTCCCCTGGTCAGGAGCCCTGACTCACCAGAGTGTGTTTTTGTCCTTTCTTTTTTTTGAAGCGGTGCTAAGTATCTGTCATTTTGCAGCACACCTCCTGCTCTTTCTACAGTAGAGGTGTAATGTTAGGTGCTTTTTAGTTACACAGAGCCATAGTACCTGAAATTCATTGAATTTCACAGGTAAATAGGACAGTCTCGTAGCCGCATCACAATCTAGCATAAAAGCATTATAATATTTAACTACTGAAAGCTGTCTTGTAATGCTGCTCATGTGATACACATGAGCAGCATTACATTTTTTCACAGCTTTTCATATTTTAAGCTGGTGGGTAGTGTAAAAAAACAAGATACAGTAGCCCAGAACCTAATCTGTTAAGGATCTTTCCATTTAAGTGGATCTACATAAATGCATGCAGTGTAAACCTGCTCTACTGATCTGGTGGAGCCACAGAAGGCTGGAGAAGACATTATGTGACTAATGCTGCTATTTAAAAGGATACAAGTGGAAGGTCTGAATGAATACCTTTCCTACTGCCCCTTTATTATTAACCCAGTGAGCCATGCTGCTAAGGGGAATTTACTGAACTTTGAAGCTGTGACCTTGAGTCTGTCTGAGGCCAAGGAGTAGTGGTATCTATTACCTATGGAGACCTCCCTTAGGACCACAGAGCTGTAGATAGATCTTCAAGAGAGGAGGCTTAAGGGAGCTGTGAATGGATTGGCTGCAAATTGGGTCTGAACGCCACCTTTGAGACGTGCCCTAACAGAGGCAGTGTTTTATTGGGGATATCTGATTTCCTTTTACATGCCTGGTCTCCTCTAGCAGCTGGAAGAAACTGTGCACCTCCACCCATTTTCTTTGCACTCTGTTTTTGTTTCTGAGCTGCCCCCATTGAAGTGCATTAGGTCTGTATTTTGTCCATACTTGACATTTTGTCTCACATGCCTTTTACTGGTGACCTGTGACACAGAAGAGTATCCCTGCTGCCTATTTTGTCTAATGTAGTCATCATCTTTCCATCACTGCTGAAATGATCTTATGTATCTTGTTTGATTTTGAATAACGCAGGGTCTTAGACTGTTTCTTTCATCATACTCAGGCCTCTCTGTCTTTTTCAGGTTGGACAGGCTAAAGGTAGAGCAGTGTGGACCACAAGAGATCAACCATGTGGCCAACCACAGGCCGCCACTCACACAGCCTGAGATCCAGAACAATGAACACAACCGCGAGGTTGCCCATGAGTGCAATGCAGCAGTGACCTCTACCACAGCAGAAGAAGAAAGGAAGCAGCGAGATGCTGAGCGATATGGCTTCCAGAAGGACTGGGCAGAGCGTGAAAATCCACTCACCAAAATCAACAGTATCAAACTGCAGCCAGCCCAGGAAGCAGTTGTCAAGGCTAACATTGCCTCACCGCAGTCTCCAAGTGAGATAGATGGGTCAACCTTTAGTCCCCAGGTTAATGGATCTGGAGAGCAGTGTCCAGCTGATGGAACTGGAGTCCATCCTCAACAAAGTCCCAGCCACGAACCAGACCGCACACTGAGTAGGACCAACTCTATGCAGCAACTGGAGCAGTGGGTTCGTACACAAAGAGGACGTAACCAGGATGATGACACCAGGAGGTTGGTTTGATTATTTTGCCTTTTGCAGAATTAAAAACTGTTTTAATTATGCCATTGTGTGATCTCAAAATTTGTGTGCTGCAAAAGGAGAAAATACGCCAGTACAAGTTGTTATTAGGTTATTGCATAACCTAGTCTTTTCAACAAAGTGCAACTTAGCTAAACTCGGTATAAAGTGGATAAATGCTGTTTTGCTTGCATCTTGAGACGGGAGGTATTCTCCTCAAGTATTATGTGTATGCAGACTCAGATTTTCCAAAGCTTCTTCCTTTCAATTCTCTGTAAAGTTGTGTTTTTAAAGCCAGAGGATTCAAATGATTTAAGCACTATGTGTACCAGTAAGCAGACCTGGGGGCACAGGGCAAAGCTGTTAGCCAGAGTTATTGCCTGCCACTGACCCTTCTGTGAGAGTCGCATGTTTAATTGGTTGAGGTTAAACTTGCCCTCTAACCTGTATGCTAGTCTGTCTGTCTGTCCATTTGTTTATCTGCCTAACAGTTTGCACTTTGACATACCATTTACATATTTTCTTCACTCACTTCCTGAGTAGTTTGAGTTTTAAGTAACTGTCATACACTTTTATGCAGTGCATTAATTTAAAATGATTATCATGGATAAAAACACATCAGGGCCTTAGTGCTACTTATTTTCTTTTTGTTCAACAGCCTTTGTTTGTCAGTATAAATATGTCCTCCAGAATGACGTTCAGTTTCCATGTAGTCACAGACTTTTTTTAATGCTACTGGATTTTACAGCCCAGTAAGCGTTCTAGCCGGGATCTGTCAGGGAGTTTTAATAGGAAGCTTTCTGCACTGACTTTGAACCCACTGTGGAAGTGGTGCTTTGTTGTCAATGGAAAGTACTTATTTGTCCTGGGGTGGGGAGGTGGGGGCAGTCCCTTGCTTCGGTCTCACATAATCATATCCAGAGCTCAGTGAAGGATCCAGTTTGAATCTACTATATGTTGAGGACTAGAGTGGATATGTTTTTAACATGCAAATGGAAAACACCGACTGATTTGTTATTAACATTGCTTTGATTAGCGAGGTAGCTAATAAGTTTTAATTGGGTGTTTTTGTTCAATGTTACTCATAATTTTCAAAAATGCAGAGAAAAGAAAGTCTGACTACAACCTGTCATGTAGAGATCATTCATTCAACAAATCAGATTTTAGGAAATAAAGAATATGGTTTAAGACTGATTAAGTTTGTTGTCCTTCCTTTTGAGAGAAAAGTCAAAATAAAAATATATTTATATGAAAGCAGGTTGTTGCCCAAACTACATGTGAAATGAGTTTCTTTGCTGCTCATTTATGTTATTATTAATTACTTAGTAAATCATAAAAAAAATAGTTTGTCTGTGCGAGTCAAACTGAATAAGATCTGTCCAACTCCCTCACCATGGTCTGTGCGTTTTCTTTCTCCATAGCATCACATCATACCAGACGCTGCCTAGAAACATGCCAAGCCATCGGGTACCCTATATGCCTCATTATGGAGATGGCTATCGCAGTATGCCCAGGAATAGCATGGCACAGCGGGGCAGCATCTGTAGCATGTCGCCATCTTTGTATGACCAGGCACTGGGTCCCTCACCAGCTGACAAGCGCCGCTCCATGCGGGACGACACCATGTGGCAGTTGTATGAGTGGCAGCAAAGGCAGGCATACAGCAGGCCGCCAGGGCTCTACGGCAATATGTCCAGTCCCAAAACCATGATCAACCTGTCGGAGCATGCTGCAAATAGCCACTCAATCCCTCCCTCGCCCTCCCATGGCTCCCTGTCAATGTATGGTGGCTACTCCCCGATGCGATCCTACAACATGAATAATGCTCGTTCTGAGGTTTCTTCTCCCATCTACAGAAGAGAGATGAGCATCGACAGACGACACAGGCCACAACTCAGCAAGGTCAGTTAAGGCACATATAAATGCAAAAAGGGTGGTTCATCCACATAACAAAATGTATTATCCCTTACCTTTAGTGTTATCTAGTTATGGTTTAATTTGCTCAGACTTTGAGACATCCACCTCTGTGATTTCTGCCTCCACTACACTACTTGCTTGTGGTGTACCAACCGTTAAAAAATGTCACACACGCACACAAAAAAAGAGCAACGGAAACATCTCTTTTCACAGTCAGTGTCAGAACATTATGTCAACTGTTTCCATTAGAACTACTTTCTACTGAAGAGGTAGTCCTTCTAAAAGCTGTTACAGTGTGCGTTTCACAATCAAGAATAACCGGGACATTGCTTCTAGAAAGAGGTGGTATTTTAAATTCATTTTTGGTATGTAACAAGATGGTTTACACTCAAAACTCCACTTTGTGTTTGAGTGTTGGAGCACATTTCATAACATATACTGTTTCCATATGTGAAGAATAAGTCCATGCTTTCATACTCAAGTCATTTTTGATGTTTTAAGCAGCACACAGAAATTCTCCTCTAATGTATTTCTGGTGGCAGAAATCGAGGTGGAATTGGTCACTACTTTGGCATACAAAACAAAAAATATCCAAATAATTAAAAGCTATAATGAACAAAATGTTTCTTTCTATTCGGTTATGAATGGTTATTTAAAGCAATCCATGGTATAATGTAACTGTCGAGCATTTTTTTAAATGTACTCTATCTTGCAGCATGGCTATCCAGCTGATAGGACGTCTATGCCTGCAGGGATTCCAGTCCAGACTATCACTACCCAGTCTCTCCAAGGCAAAACAGTAAGTCCACATCTGCGTGGTCGCCAGCTGTGTTCACTATCTACTAACTACCCAAATTTAGGTCACTATGCCCCTTAGTCAGTATTCTTGTATGAATTTCTGTAATGCACCACCCAGGATTTTCACACTTGGGCTCTACACGCATATTCATTTAGGTTCGGTTGGAGTTCTTTGAAAGACAAGGTTGTTTTCATAACGCGACCCACCCTCCCCACTCCCTCTTCTTCTTTCTCTCCTTCATTTCCTTCCAACAAAGTGTTTTGACAGAATTTTTAGACAGCTTTAGGCTGAACTCAACTGTATGTTCCAAGTGGTAGGATTTAGGATATGTTGACTTCAGGAGCTCATTAGACTTGCTTCACATCAGTGGAGACTTGGAGAAACACTGTCACTCACAACTCACTAAGCGAGATCAGGAATTTATATCAAAGCTGTACACAGTTCTGTGTTCTCATGGAACAGGCAAAATGTGAACTGGATTTCATAATGAATGCTAAACTGTTTTTGCATGCTACTAAGAGCAATAACACCTTGGATCATCTCCTGGTCCATAACTGCATGAAAACAGAATGTCTGAATGTAACGACTGTTCACCTATTGAGACCCTGATTCCTCTAAATCTACTGCCCTGGTCTGTTCTCTCCTTTCCTCTCCCACTTCCCCTGCGGTCTGTCCCTGTTTCAATATGGCCATGTGTCCCTCGTTCCCTCGCAGCCTGAGGAACTGACTCTTCTGCTAATAAAGCTGCGGCGGCAGCAGGCAGAGCTAAACAGTATCCGGGAGCACACTGTAGCACAGCTTATGCAACTAAACATGGATGGCGACAACCCAAAGGTCAGGCCCTCAGAGATGCTTCTGCAGACATGTATGTTGCTTTGGTTTGAAGGTATCTGTTCATTATATTTAGAGATTAGCTTATTTGTTATTAACTTTTTCGAAAATGTGTAAAATGTTTGGAGACAAAAAGAGGCTTATTTTAAAAGAAGCATTTTTTTCAGATTATTTCAACAAGGTAAGCAGTTGACCAAGTTTTTGCACTTCCCCTAAGAGTCTAGACAGATGTTAGGCTGAATTGAATCTTAAAGCCACTGGTAGGCTTAAAGAGTGACCAACTAAGGAGGCTAAGGTCAGTGGCATACGTAAATCTTAATTCAGGATTTTTGAGATGTCTGACTACAGATTTAAACTGTTTCTAATGTAGGTCAAATAGGCTTGAGGTGGTAAATAATTGAGTTTGAGAGATTAGTGTTTCTAACCACATTTGCACTGACTTTTAACTACTGTACTATTTTACAATTTATTTGAAGTCTATATGTATCTTATGTAGTTCACTGGGTTAGTCTTAGTAAACTAGCAGCCTGTTTAAATGTTAAGTACTTCAGCCTCAGTTTACTGCTTGGTTTGTGTTTTGCCTTAATACTACACCCATTCTGTTACTTTATATAGTATATCTGGTACCTAACCTAATTTTTTCACCTTCACTGATCCTGCCTTCCTTTCTTCCTGGTTATCTATAGGTGTACTGTAGAGGACAGGCATATGTGCACGTGTGTGTGTGTGTGAGAGAGAGAGGATTAGAAAGAAGGCACGACTTCTGTTTGCCTCACTCTACTGTTGCCTTTTCTTTCCTCTCTTTTTTGCTGCTGACACTAGAATGACATTCTCTCCCATCATCTCCAAAGGAACCTCATGTTTTTGGACAATCAGGTGGGGTAGTGCATGAATGCATGGCCCTGTCTCCTGTTGTCATGAACTGAACACATTTAATGCTTTGCAATTATTGTATTAATTAATGTGTAATATAATTTGAAATGTATGGGTCTTCTTGAGATAATGGACCAATGTGACATATCACAGCATCTATAGCCTAAACTAGTTGGCGTTACTCATTCCTAGGTGGACCTATTCATTCATTATTTTGAATGCATACCCTAAACTCACTGTCAAGGTGTGCAAACTGAATATTTGTCACTCTGTTCTGTATAGTTGGGAGATGTCGACAGGCTTTATGTTGCCCACATAATGTACATACTGTAGAAAAGTGTGTATCATATCATTGAATTGCCTGCAAAGGAATTTTCATATGTAGCTCTGAAGTCCTTAGAGATTTTGTGTGATCAAAAAAGTGCACATTACAGTATGCAGAGGCACAATGACACATTTATCATAATAACTATAGACATGATAATGTCATGTTTACTGGTTTATGTAACCATTGAGAAATATGTCATTTTGCTTCTACAGTAAAGGAATGAGGCTTAACATTTACCATCTACTACCACATACATCACAACAAAAGTTACATGAAGGTTTACCATGAGCTTTTTTTTTTTTTTTTACTGTTGATGAGCTTTGCACTACATTGTCCTTCTGATCCTGTTTGCAAGCGTCTCTAACTGCTTCCCATTGCTGTAACCCTAACTGTCCACGGTGGATGCATGCATCTATGATTGAGTCTATTCAGAGAGCAACAAAGGTGTAACAACATTATGATTGTTGTTTCTAAATTGAAACACTGCTATAAACTCACACTTACTATATCACTCCTCTCCACACTGGACTAGATGAAGGAAAATGACCCTTTAATCATCATGACTCACGCTTTGATTGAGAACTCTGCCCCAAGGCCTCAACTTTACCAGCAAGTAAGGCCAGCCAAAGGCTTTGCTCCGCCTCATCCTCACCAGTCGCTGTTATTCTTTTGGTCTGTTTTGCAATGCTTTTCCTTCGGTGTTCAAGTACTCATGGCATTTTGAGAGTGGTCTCCCTATATTGTTTGTATTGCAAGCATCTGTTCATCCATTGCTTTTGACTGTTCTCTGTTATTATGAGAAGTCATGCCAAATATGAGCATGGCTTGTAAAATAGTAGTTTGATGTGTGTGCTTAACTGTTGAGTAATATCTCTTCCTCACTGTAGGTCTGTATGTGGAAGCTGGATACAGTTTGCTCTGTGCTTAGAATATATTCACTTAACTGCTGGGCGAGCCTAATTCAAAAGCTAAAGCTGTGATCATTTACTGTAGGTAGCAGCATCTTGTTTTGTCTAGTACCAGATGATTTGTGTGGGATTTTTCATAACGCCTCTTTAGAGAATGTGTCTCCTCCCATTAACTGAGCCACCTAGACTTATCAGAAAGACTTTAATTAGTGTGACTTAATTCTGTGTTACTGAACTTGGCACGTACTGTATCAGCCCAGTTCATTGCCAAATACTATAATGATGTAGTATGTGTGAAAACGTGCAGGGGATTGTTTTTATAGCATAAGTAAAGTACAATAAAGTAGATTTATTTTTGGGATGCATGAATATTGCTGTTCTGGTCTATGCTGGTCTGCTTTTTTTTTTTTTATTGAAATCCTTTTCCAGTCAGTCAAACACTGTTCAGATGTCAGGATTTAGATGCTTAAGAATATGCCCATGGAGTGCACAGATGAAGATTTTCTTGGGTAAACTCTGTTTTCCTTTTTATCTGTCTTCATTCCTTCCCCTCATCCTCTCTTGTCCTTCTGCTGATGTAAAGGATAAAGAGAGTCAGCTTGTATGTGACGATGGCCAACATACTGTATCACTTTGTCACTTTTGTGACCGCCTCTCAAGGTGTAAAAGTGCCACTGAAGAACGCTCCCACCCACCTCTCCCCATCACTCATTCATCTGCATACCTGCCCACAACAGCTGTTTTCCCACCTGTTCAGCTCCCAGACGTCTGTTTCCTTTCTTCCCACATCACTCGTCCACACCACATAACACTACAGTGAAGCTCTCTAAGCTCTCGGAGAGTTTGCATGCTCTGTGTGGAATGCCATGTGATTCTCAGGTCCTACCTGCTTTAACTGTACTGTGTGATTCAGCTGAGGAAAGAGGTGAAAGAGTGCAGCTGCAAGTGCGGAGCTTTGGTAAAGTGGAGTCTGAAAGTATTTGGGCAGTAAGTCATTTTTTGTTGCTTGGCTCTGTAGGCTAGCACATTAGATTTAAATCATGTCAGTGGTGTGCACACTCCTAGCTGTTTTTGGCATCACCAAGAAAGACACCAAGTGTCTGCTGATATCTGTAGGTTATGGCCCAGCCAGTCATTGACTGCAAAGAATTTAAGGCCTTATATTAATTATAATTTAAGTAATTTAAGGATATACTATCAATTAAAGCCTAAAGTTGGTACATTGGTTATGAAATGCCATAATTATTATAAAATCAATGTGAGTAGAAAGACGCAGCACAAAAATGGCACTGTCCTAATATGTCTGGACTGTAGAAGAGTGGGTGACTGATGAAGCATTATGTGATGAATGCATTATCTGGAAACGTGGGATCCAATGCAGTTGAAATCATTTCCTCTGTTTGTAGCAGAGCTGTTCTGAGATGAAGATGAGTAATACAAGACAAAAGGAAGGATGCACTTTCTCTTACATAAATAGAATAATTGTATCAATATGTTGACCACATTACCGTCTGACACTAGCAACATGCTGAAACTGCCTGCATTTTTAATGTGAACAATTTTACTGACTGTATTTTATCCTGCTATAAAGTACATCTGTTTGTAATTGTTCTGAGCATTATGAAGTGCAGTACTGTATGTTAAAATGTGCTAAGGAGATTTCTGGTTATTTTTCTGTTAATATTGCACTTTGACTTAAGGCAACACACAGCTACTAGAGAAGCAGGGTCCTTGGTCCAATAAGCAGAGCATTGCTGAAGATAAGCACAGTTGGTGGACACAGCTTATGTGCTGAATCTAGAGTTTAGTAAACAAGTGCCTTCCCCTTGCATTTCCAATAAAACCACTGCATTGTGCTGATGGAGACAAATGGCTGTGGGCGATGAAACATAAGGCACCAGTATCATCTGAGGAGAGACTTTGTTTAGGCTGGCTGCCCTCCCATTGTGGGTTTGTTAACTTAGATTGTCTGACTCAGTGAAACTCGAGTTTCAACTCAAGGGCCAATCCCATGGCTCAGTGAGAGAGCCTTGTCATGACACTGCATTAGATCTCCAGATTCTACTGTGTATGTGTATACTTGGTGTCTCTTTCTGATGTGCTGGCTTTCTTTGCAGTTGAGTCCAGAAGACTTCAGAGAGCCTGTCTATACAAGTTTTCCAGAAGAGGTTGACATTGATGTAAGTTCAGTGTTGCACTTTTTATGTACTTTTTATGACTTGATGCTCCCTTCAGCTGTACATAATGGCTCACAGCTCTTTATTGTTTTCTTTTCAGGCCAAACTCAGCAGGTTATGTGAACAGGATAAAGTTGTGAGGATACAGGAGGACAAACTTCAGCAGCTATACCGAGAGAAGGTGACTAAACACTGCACATCTGTCATTATTGCATCTCGTGCAAAACACTGTTAGAATGCTTTCAAGGATGTTATGCAAAAAGAAGACACAGTTGACATTTTGGTTGAATTATAAGGATACTGTAGCTTGCGTTACATTTATGTGCACAAAACAGAACAAAAGAATAAATAGATCTTGTATACAGTATATGTTGTACTGCATTACTATTGCCTAGCTACTGTCAACTTGCAAGAGATGTCTGATGACATACAAGGGTTGTATAGCCATGCAATGTGTTCACAGGCAAACGAAGAAACCTAAGCAAGAACGGTAATGCACTGTGTTTGTATACATAATTCAACACTGGAGACACACATACCAACTACAGGATATTTGGAAGTGTGAAATGTATAATTTATTTGGAGTTACCCCAATGCCCATAAAACAACAAATAATAAACAAATTAAAAAAAAAAGCTGGCACAATATTAAGTTCTGAAATTATTGGCTGATTAATTGATTTATCACTTGCCAGACTTTAAATTGTTGTGCTTATGGATTAATGAGTGAAGCAGCTGCTCCAGTAAGGATATCAGTTTGAGCTTTTTGCATATTTGTCGTTACCTATTACTGGATATTAAATATCTTTGTTTTTTGAATGTTGATAGGACAAACTAAGAAGTTTGAAAACTGTACTTTGGGCTTTGAGAGCAGCTAATGGACATTTTATTGACTAAGTAATCACGTGATTAATCATAATAAATAATTCACATTTTTACCAGCAAAGAAAATAAGTAACTTGCAGCCAAACCTTTTTAAAATTTAATACCTTGTAAAGAGTCTGGGAGCTAAAAACAGGGTCATGAGCTTGAGAAGTTTGAGAAGCTCTGGTGCAGTCTTAAATAATTAATTGTAACTTTTCTAAAGTTAGCTGATCTAAAAGGTTTATGGTGACCAATTACATCCTCATGCTGTATGTGTATTTGATTTGTATGTTCCTTCAGCACACTCTGGAGACAGCACTGCTGTCAGCCAGCCAGGAGATAGAGATGGGGTCTGAGAGCCCAGCTGCCATGCAGAGTGTCATCCAGCAGAGAGACTTGCTGCAGAGTGGCCTGCTCAGTACCTGCAGAGAGCTGTCCAGAGCCACTGCTGTGAGTCATGCAATGCATTCATGCACATCACACAAACTAAGATGGACAATGACACTTTCTTCAAGAGGGCCAGCAAGATTTTGTGCCTGCTTAATTTTCTAACATTCAGAGACTGTCTCTCAAACCAGGAGTTGGAACGGTCATGGAGGGAGTATGACAAGCTGGAAGGAGATGTGACTATCGCTAAGAACAACCTGCTGGAACAGTTAGAGGCACTGAGAAGCCCTCAGGTACGATTATTGTTGAGACAGACGCTGCACTACTTCAGTCTCGCACCACTTCTGCTGTCTAACACTGCCATGGCATAATAGTTCATCTTTGGTTGGAGTAAATATAATTCAGAGCCTCAGAGAAATCTGAAATGTGGCAGATTCCCAGCAACATTCTTTTTGACTTTGGGGGGAAAAGTAAAGAAGATATCTATGCTCCAGTGCCCTTAGTTGAATGTAGAGGGAGATTACTGGGAGATCAGAATAACACAGTGAGTGACTGATGACTGTAGCAGTGATAGACCAGGTCTTAATTAAGTCTTTTATCTTGTCCTTCATCATGGGAAAGGTGTAGAGACAGAAAGAAACTGCTCTTGCATTTAGTCCTAGTTGAGTCAGAGTCGATGTAAGATCAAAGTAGAGAAGTCAGAGGGCCAGCAGGGAGCCCCTCTTCTTCACTGTGCTTTGCACAAGTAGAAATCTGTCATCACTAAGTAGGAAATATTTGTGTGCATATCTCTTGCTCCTCTATCTGCATCCCTTCTTTCATTCATTCTCTTCTTTGCTGATACTGCTCTGTGACTAATATTTCTAACAGACGATACAGATCAGTACACACCTTAGTAGATACTATACATAATCTCCCCTCTCACTGTTGCACATTTCCTTCTCTTTCACTTTCCTTCTGCACTTTGCTCCTTCTTTTATATTCTAATCTTACATAATTAGCCTCAGAACTCATTTAGATGTTAATCAGTCAGTAATGTGTGGCAATCTGTCTCTGTTTTCTGCACACACTCAGACGGAGCCTCCCAGTCAGCAGCACGTCCACATCCAGAAAGAGCTGTGGAGGATTCAAGATGTGATGGAGGCTCTCGGTAAACACAAAGCTCAAAGAAATGCTTCTGACGGCATGAACTTCTGTGGGTCCAAAACCAACAAGCACAAAAATGAGGTGAGACACCACTAGAAAACAATCCAGTTTATGTGGTCATATAGTTTTCTAGTCCTGAAACAATTAGGCATTTAATCGATTAGCTGTTTATGCCAAGAATCCAGCTTTTAAAATGTGAACATTTTACCTTTGCCTGTTTTATATCATTGTAAATTGTATATATTTGGGTTTTTCCAGTGACTGATAAAACAAGCAACTTGAAGACTTGGAATTTAGGGAGTTGTCAAACATTTTATAGACTAAGCATTTAACCTATTAATATGGTAGAAGTAACAAATCATAAAAACAATCTGTGGTTGCAGCCTTACAGAAGTCTCCCATAGATATGTAGATGAAGACAAACATAAACGGAGTACTCAAACTGCCAGCCCTGGTCATGGGCAGTATGAGCGGTGGTATCTGATTGCACGTGTCAGTCATGCTGTAAGCATATGGAGCGCTCTGTCTTTCTGGTTTGTCTGTCCTTTGGGCAAGAGCTACTGTGTCAGACAGTGGTTGAACATGTGTGGTGGCACCATGTGTCACATTTCTTCCTGTCCTCTGGTGCCCTGTATAATCCCCAGGAGGAGGACTCAGTACCCCCACGGCCACCGCTACCCCAGTCCTATGAGCCCAATCCCCCTACTGTGCCCCCTGTGCCCTCTCATGCTGGTGTGCGCCCTTCATCACTCCACAAGCTGGAGGACAGAAAGGCCAATCAGAGGAATGGCACACATAGCGTAAGCTTGTTGACACATTGAGCACATGGTTGACCCTGCCCTCAGTCGTGTCATCACATGTCCTCAGTCACTGTGATGGTTTTCATTTTCATTTTGGCCATCATCTCGTGTTTTGGATTGTTTTTGGTTGAATAATATCCCTACATTTACTCAGTGCCATATTTTAATCATCTTTTTTCAGTTAGTGGGATAAAGCCTTGCTTGTGATTTTTTTTGTTTTTATTTTGTTTTGTTAATGCAAATGTGTTAAAATGTAATATTTACATTTTGCTGTGTTCTGTCCTTTGTTTGAAATGAAGCCATTCTTGAGTTTGATTGCATCTGCCTGCTGCCTGTTTTTCCATTTGGCTGTAAAACTGTGTGTCTGACTCAAACTGCATTTGCTGTATACATTTATATTGGAATATTTATCTGACTGTAAAGGCATCATTTTGTAAAAAAAAAAAAAAAAGAAAAAGTTAGTTTGTCACTGTCATTGAGGTTCTTCTGTCACATTATGTAATTTCTTATCTGCATGTGTGTTTTGTTGCTTGTGTGCAGGGTCCAGACTACAGGCTGTATAAGAGCGAACCAGAACTCACCACAGTAGCTGAAGTGGACGAGGGCAATGGAGAGGACAGATCTGAACATCTGTCTGATAAAGAACATTCTGGAAACAAAGGTACATTAGAGTAGAACCAAGTAATAAGATGCCAGTTTCTAATAATTGTGCAGCTTTTCACTGAAGCCAAATAAATTAAAACAACACAAGCATAGTTCACTTGTTTCAAGCACTGATAGCTGCCATGGCATTCACACAGATGTCACTTTGGCACAGGTTTTTTTCCCCAAAAGGCATAAGTTAGGTCATATCGCAAACATATTCTCCTGCCAGCCATTATTTGTCTTAAAGTGGTTGCCGTGGATGCATTGGCATTTGTATCTGCATTTGCCTGGATTCATTTTACACTCCATAAATACATTATCGCTTGTTCCTTCATCTCTCAGATTTTTTTTTTTTTTTACCAGGTTGAAATGTGTGTCAGTGCTGGAATAATTCGACTTGGTTTAGATTTTAGTCTGTTTTCTGAGACAGGATGGATTAGGCTAATCTAAAGAGCAAATTGTTTAGCTTGCACAGTAGAATCCAGATGAATGATTTCACTGTAGTTTCACATTTGTTCCACACCACACAATCAATAGTAGCAACTTGGCAGTTCTGATGCCAGAAATACTGTATTGTTTGTAGAGTACTTGATGCCATGTTTTATGTATATTCCCAGGGTTAAACTTGGAAGTCTCAGAGAATCAAAGAAGTCAATTCAATTTTTATTTGTATAGCCAAAAATCACAAATTTGCTTCAAGGGGCTTTACAGTCTGTACAGCATACAACACCCTGTCTTTAGACCTTCGAATAGGATAAGGAAACACTCACCCAACAAAAGACTTGACCAGGGGAAAGACTGAATAATCCTTCGAAAGAGCAACAGAGGAGGATCTGTGGGTGTAAAATCCTCTCATAACTAGCCACAAATCTGTGTTCTGCAATTTACAAATATAGTCAAGGTTACAAATGTGTAAAAAAGATTTGTGTCTCATAATTACAGTTCCTTAAAATGCATTTACTGATCATTGAATGTTATATCAGGTTTTTATTTGTAGATTGACAAACATGCATTTGTGGCCTTCATTAGACACACACATCAGTTTTTACACATTTGTAACCTTGACTGTATTTGAAAATTGCAAACTAAAATAATTACTAAACAGATGAAAAGAATTCAGTGGCTGTGTTATTTGCCGTTCTCATGATGAAACCTTATGTACTCAAATTTGAATGATTAGCCATTTAGAAGTTTCTTACTACTCAATGTATTGCTATTCATATGCTGCATTAAAGCAGGCTCTCTGTAATTGAACCAGGTGGTTTACTCATCTCTTATCTCTTGCTAGGGATGTCCTACCCAGTTGGCATCGTCCCACCCAGGACTAAATCTCCAGTGTCTGAGTCTTCTTCCATAGCCTCGTATGTTACGTTAAGGAAGAGCAAGAAGCCTGATCCTAGGATGGTGAGTCCTGGAACTTTACTGCTCACTGCCCTGGAGATGATGTGACTTCTAATAGCAACTTTAATTTTAACAGCTGTAAATTGTAACCTTTTGGGTCACCATATGCAACTAGATATTGCCATCAGCTGTCTCCTCTTAATTGGTTGTTTTGGTTATTAAACTGTTGGTTGAAAGCTAACGTGTAGAAGAGGCCACTCATCATGGGGCCAGACTGTGACTCATACTGTCAACATCAGACTAATAAAATAGATGCCAAGCTTAATTTATACATTTGTAAGCCTTAGACACTTACAACTTAAATATACTATTTGCGTCATTAGTGCACCACACTGTAGGTAGGATGTTTCCTGTTTTTACTGTGTGTATTTGAAACAAGGTGGCTAAAAACCAGTGTGTTCACATATGCCCACACAGTCCTCCTTGTAGGCCATATAGCCCATGGTATTAAGAATGTGTCACAGGCCTGTAGAGTTCAGCTTAGCCCTTGGATATCAGCCTTTTGAGCAATCTGGACGATGGAGACTGTATCCCAGGGCTCTGGACTGAATCCATATCTGGCAGTCCATTCAAGATGGTACAGACCTACGAGTGAACAACTTCTGCTCAGTTCACTTCACATCATCAGGCTCATTAACCAGCCTCCAGCGCGTCTTGAGTGCACCCATGTGTACCAACATGAGTATGTGAGTGCACAGCAGTCAGGATGTTTCCATAAGTGGTTGCATCTCTGCTCAGTTTTGGCCTAAGAAAGTGTCCATTAAAGCGCCATTTACAAGCATTATTATGTCAATCTTTGCAGTTAACTTTGTTTAAATAAGTAAATGTTTTTCCAGTGTGTCCAGTATTGGTAGAGAAAATGTAGTTGTTTCTAATCTTGGTCAACAGTACATCATCGCGAACAATGCATCATGAGATCTGACCACTTAGTCCACTTATCTACACGCCCAAACTGGCTTTGTAGTAAAAATTTACCATTTGTGTTCTAACATTAAATAATTGACATTGATGCTGCATTATTATTAAATTCTATTCAATGCATATGTTTGTCTGTGTCCCTTTGTGTGGTTTCTGTGGTTGTCCTGCCTGGCTTGAAGGAGCGCCCACGCAGTGCAGTGGAACAGCAGCTGTGTGCTGCGGAGAGTGGCCGCCCCAGGATGAGTGTGGAAGAGCAGCTGGAAAGGATCCGTCGCCACCAGCAGGGTGCCCTCAGGGAGAAGAGAAAAGGCCATGGCATCAGGGGTAGCAGCCAGGGGAACACACCCTCTCGCAGTCACTCATTTACTAAAGAAAACCATTTCCGCATCATGCAGGTATTGGATGACTGGCACTGACATTACTTGGACATTAAGGCAGCGTTAAAGTTCAGAATAGTTGTGAGCTGTCACATGATCTGATCTCTCTCTGCATTTTTGTTTTGTTTGTGTCTTTTCTAGACCCAAATGAGGCACAGAGGTGAGGTGATGAACAATGATATTCAGGAGTTGGAGGCCTCTCTCAGGCAGCAGAAGGTGGTGAGGGAGCAGGAGACTCCTGCTGAGGAGATCACCCGTCTCAAACAAGTTTCACAGCCTGACCACTTCAACGTGGACAGAGAAGTAAGGCACAGCAGTTGGCTTTCCTACTCATAGGACAGAGGGCTTACCAACAGAACATTAAGTATTGTGGGTGTGTTAAATGTGGCAGAATGAAAGAAGCTGTGATACTGGTATTGCTAATTTTAATACAGTGAAACTAAAAGCCAAGATGTATTTTGTAACAAATGATGTTCTGAAAAAAACATGATGAGTTTGTTCCGTAACTAAATATCATGAAAATCACTGCACTTAGTGTAGCACCTTGTTTTACCTAAACATCCCACTCTTTTAACATGTGTGGGTGCAAAATTCCCAGGGTAATATCTTAATTAACTGAGTTAATTATAAGCTGGAAACTTGATTGTAATGTGCTTCTTGCTGTTTTAGAAGAGTTCATGGCCTTCCTCTGGATTACATCACTGAACTCCTTACAACTTAGGTCTCACATCAGTTGTTTCTTGCTGTAGGACAAAGCCTACGGTGGTGATGCTACATTTAGCTTTAATGCAGCCAAAATGGGAACAGTCTCACTGTACTCTAGACAGATGATGACGATAATGAGCATCTAATGAATGCCATTTTATTTCAGCTTCTGTGTCCTTTTCTATTTTTGCTTTATTTGTGAACCACATTATATTCCATTTATATATATTAAATGTGTTATGTGAAATGTTTTTCCTCTGGTTGTGTTTCTTCAGCTTTCTGTGCCTGACAAAGTGCTGATTCCTGACCGTTATGTGGAATCAGACCCGGAGGAGGCTCTGAGCCCTGAGCAGGAGGCTGATAAGCAGAGGAAAGTTGACCGCATCAAGGCCCTCATAGCCCAAAACAGGTAAACACAGCATCAGTAACTATTTATTAGCATGGACAGGTCTGCTCGGGCATTCGATATTGGATAAAAATCCTTTGGTAAAGGGCTATCATGGCTGGTGATCACAGATATTTTCTAACAGATGGCTCTGGCCATCAGGAGCAACTTGTGCTTCAGTGTCTTGCCCAAGGACACTGACATGTGGACTGGGAAGAATGGGAATGGAACCTCAGACCTTCCGGTTATAGGATGGCTGCTCCATCTCCTGAGCCACAGCTATGATGGGAACGTTATGGGGTCAAACAGTAGGACTAAGTTCACATACTATAGATGGTACAAAAGAGCAGAGGTGAAAAGTAACTTACTGAAGTACTGTACCTAAGTACAGTTTTGAGTTATCTGTGCTTTACTTGAGTATTTTCATTTTCTCATACTTCATCATCACTACATTTTAGATAAAAAAATAATGTACTCTGTACATTTAATCGATAACTTTAGTTACTGTTGCCTTTTCAGAATCGGACGAATAAAGCAAAATGCAATATAATCATAGAACTTCATTGATCCCCAGTGGGAAATCCACAAGCTCCTTCACATTATAAGTTAAAATTAGCTGCACCGTTACCAGCTGCAACATTAAAGCGATGAACACAATAATGCATCAGTAACTAAAATCCAATAATATCATATACATTGTGAAATGTGCCACTCTATATAAAGGCTGCTGTTACATTTTTCATAGTGAAGTATATTTTGATGCTAATACTTATGTACTTTTGCTTAAGTAACATTTTGAATCCAAGACTTTTACTTGTAACAGAGTATTTCTACAGTACTACTTACACCTCTGCTAAAAAGGCTACATTTCCTGGCTGTTTTGTCTGTACAGGTACAGCACTAAGTGCCTTTCATGTACAGAGAAATGTCCATGTTCTAATCTCACAGCCACCATGACATTTTATTCTAAATGTCAACCCTCTTGAGTTGATTTAAACGAGAGCTTTTTTTGTCTGTTTATTCAGAAAATGTTTTTAATAAAAGTTTTATGCTGTATACAACAGAAACCATTTTTTGTATTTGTGTGTTCTTCCAGCGTGCAGGGCGTGCTGCCTAGTTTGGCTCTAAGCCCAGAGGAGGAGACTGAAGAGGAGGTTACTGTACAGGAGAAAGAGAAGATGATTAATATCTCCTACAAGCTGGCAGCAGAGGCCTCCAAACGCAGCAAGCTGGTAGCAGGTAGGTCTCAAAAGAGAGAAAAAAGAAGGTGGAGGGGATTTGATCAAAACAATGCATGTGATAAAGCAAACGCTAGTGGGAGCCTGCTTTTAGCGGCTACTACTTTTTTTATTGCCTCCACAGTGCATGTCATTTATCACTGTAGTCCCAGTTGCTTCTTCATTCATCTAATTAACATGAATGATTATTTGTGTTTGTTGGCCATTTAGTAATTAGTTGCTGATGTAATTTGTTTTTGTTATATTGTGTGTGCCTGTGTTCAACATGCTGTTCTGTTTTGTTGCAGTGAAAAGCCTGTCGTCCTCTTCCCCACCCCTTCCACAGTCCCCTAACACGCCCCCTCAGCTCACTGATGGGTCTCACTTCATGTGTGTGTAGTAGCGCCAGTAAGGGCAACAAACATATAATATTCCTTGCCGTTTTGTTTTTGTGATAAGCTTATATGGGATTGTTTAGTGTAGGTCTTGTGGGTGTTCAAGGAAGCTGGATTGTCAGCTGACCTGTGAAAAATATTTGGTTAATAGTTTTTTAATGTTTTAATCTGAATTTGTATTAGGTGTCAGTTAATCATAAATATGGATTATTGCTATTTATTAATAAATGTTCAGAGATGATACATGGTATTTTAGAAGTTACCTGGTTAACTGAGTAACCCTGCTTGGTGCAATACCCCCAGCAGGACTCTAGTTTCTGGAAGGCAGGTGTCTGACTGATGGACATTGTATACAGAGCCGAAGCTGACATTCCCTGCACTTTCAGATGAATTATGTATGACCAATCAACAAGGAGACACTTTTTGCAAAAAAAAAACTCAACTGAGTAGCATTTTGTGCTGGCATGTGACTTTTCTTTATCATATTTTGTCATAAGTTCATATCACATGAGCATCATCAATTGGATATTTTTTCCAAAGTAGTTTGAACTACTTTTTCTAAGTAGCTTTAGTTAACCATACTAGATTTCTCCCTAGAGTAGCTTTGCTGTAGTTCAGCTTCTTTCAGTGTGAAGTAATGGGTAACTTGTAAAGCTACGCTTTCAAAGTAGCTTCCCCAATACTGTTTAGAAGCATAGGGGTGAAAACTCTTATGTGTTTATATGTGAACTGTTTTGCTCTAGCTGCCGTAACCGTAGCTTTACCCAGCACATTGTGTGTATTTCTTGTAGTCTGTGTAGTAACTCACAGCATGTGTTGCCTACTGATAAAACTCCAAAGACTGTAATATTCAGTAGAATTACTGGATTTAGGGAATGCTAGCTGTCCAGTGTCTGGTGTTATTTTTGGAATATAGCTGAACTTTTTCTCACCTTCTCTTTCTGCAGCTCAGGCTCTGGCCTCAGTGAGAACCTATACATGAAGGAAACGGCAATAGAGCCATAAATATACCCCTGCAGACCTGAAGACTTGTGCATGGACATCAGCACAATGGCCTACAGAAAGTTGAACCGCATACTCTGGTGTCCTGACCTCTGACTTCTGCATGCTCACTGTGGCATCCTAAGCTCCTTTGCCATCAACGGCATGTTCTTTGTGACATCTCTGGGGGCGCCACACTCTCTTCAAGCTGCCGAGACAATACAGCTTTGGCCGTTTTTATTGTTGCAGTTCCTTTTCCAGTTTTCACAGGGCTTTTATTTTTATTATTTACATGGTTTTATTGGGTTCTTGTTGGACTGTGAGCCAAAGGGTCTGTGACAATTTCCAGTCATCTTTCACCACATGTCCAAAAACATCTCACCATGTTTTCATATGATTTTAGTTCACTTAAGTCTTTTATACTTCACTGTTTGTTTTTCAGACTTTGGTCATCAGCTAACCATTTGTATTTATCCATTTTTTGTAAAGATCATTTGTTTATTTGAGAGATGAGTATATGAAAGATATACTGTAGCTCCCTCTATGATAATGAAAGGAGGAGCCACTATTTCTGCAGACTAAGATTATAATTGTAATTTCTCCTGTTTCTGGGTTATAATTATTTAAAATAGGATCTTTTGTATTCCCTGTCACGTTGTTGCTGACACTTATGTGAATGTTCTGGCTTAACTCGCTCTATACTGTCTTTTTTTTTGTATTGCTGAGAAATATATTTAAACGGAGAGAAAACAGTTTGGTTCTATTTTATGGAATGTTGGTTTAAAGTCCTAGAAAAAAGATGAGCACATGTAAAAAGCAATAAAAACAAAATACAGGAATAATGTTTTGTGTGTACAAAGTGTAATTATCAGAGATTTACTGTGTATATAACGCATATGGTACAACAGGATGGGTGGATGTGTTCAGAATATGGTTACACACTAGATCTGATTTGAAAATGTTCATAACCCATCTGTTTTATATTATGTTAAATAAATGTTGCTGTTCTTAACAAGTGCCTGCATTGTGTTTGTACCACCCTTATGACCAGCTGCATTTGACAATTTGAGAATAAAACCAAAAATCCCGACTTACTCAACTGCAACATGAGAACTATGCAGTCCATGGTGCAATCCAATACTTTTAGCATAAACTCATGACTGAATTAATTTCAACACAACATGGAAAATCTTATTCTAGATGTTTACATTCAGGCTGTAAGCATTTGTAAACTTTTAGCGTTTAGAATGATAAGATATAATCCAACTAAGTTGTTTGCTTGCTACACATACAGGTGAATATGGGATAATTTGTGACCCGAGTCCCCTCACACTTTAACTATAGCACCATGGCGCCCTCGTGTGGCCATTCTGTTGCTAATGCATCAGTGATAGCGCTGAGATTTCACCTTTCCCAGGGTTTAAAAATAATTCTTAAAGCCCAAGCTGGATAACCCCAGTTCATGTTCACAAATGGTAGTGTGATAATATTTCAATATATTTGTTAATAAATACATTTTGATCTAGATACTTGCAGGCTTTTACAGAAGTCGTTCATTATACCAGATTAAACTAAGCAAATGGCCTGATTGTCTCTGATTGTGGTTGTTTGTTTTTGTTGTTTTTTTGTTTTTGTTCAGCTGAGTCTAGTTTGAGGTTTTTTGTTGAACTGAGTCTGTATGAGGTTTTGTGGTTATGCATCTTTTTGTGGTCATTCTGCATTTATAGTCATTTACATGTTGTGTCATTTGATGGTTACTTCGCATCTACTTGTAGTTAATGTGTGCCTTGTAGTTGTTGAGTCTCGTCTTTTTCCACGTGTCCTTGTAGTTTTGCTTTTTTGTGTGTGGTTTTTCGTGTTTTTCATGTCACTTGATTGACTTCCCAACGAGGAAGATTCAGTCATTTCAAACGGGGTCTGTCCCAGGAGCCCCCTAAGTGTCTTCGGATAGGCCTGTTCAGTAATCCATCCATGCGCATCATCCCTAAAGGAAAGCTCCCTGACCTTGCTATGGGAAACTGCTGTTGAAAACATAGACTTCCCTTTGTAAAACAGGCTGTGGGATTTCGGAAACACATTGAAAGTTTAAATACCAACGTCAGACTTTACACTCCTCGTGGCGCCTCTGACCAATCAGAGGGCAGACAGAGTGACGTAACCCAACCCTCCCTCTGCAGTAAAGCATTAGACTGTGTCACGGGTAAAATTCAATACCGAAATTGTCTGGCGGTCCGTAAGCCGCTGCCGCTACAAAAGGAAATCCCGCGTTGAGTCCTGAGAATGATGCACCGCCTGCAGAAACAGACGAGGGCAAAACGGAGGAAAAAGAAAAGGACCTTAGCGAACAGGAAACAGAGGAGCCTGGCATTAGCGTAGAACCGAAAATGGAAGTGGTGGTCGCAGAGCCCAGCGAAGGGAAGGCCTCTTCAGCAGCAGACAAGGCCGCGACGGAGGAGGTGACAGACGACAGCCCTGTAATGGTCAACCAGGAGGCGACGGCCGCTCCAGAAGGACCGGTGCAAAAACCAGATTCACAGCAAAACCCAGGAGATGTTAACAACGATCCTGCCAACGATAACACAGTGAAAGAGGCGAAGGAGGAGCCAGGAGAAGACAGTCGCTGTTCGGCGATAGACTGTGAAAAGAGCAAAACAGTCTGTGAAGACGGGGAGAAAGCCAGCGTCGGAGGCGCCGAGTTAGGCGACAAGAGGCGGCCGAGTGTGGAGATATCATCCTCCGACGGTGAACCGCTGAGCCGTATGGACTCGGAGGACAGGTTGGTCTCCAGCAGTGTTGGGTGTGAATAGGGAGCAGCAGACAGCCCTGTCTTTACTCCCATATTTCAACGAGTACTGGATAACAATTAGAATGTTTGCATGTTAGTTAGTCAAACTACGCATAATTTGCTCGTTTCTGTAATAAATGTACTAAAGTTAACGTTAACCTATATCTAACCAGCCTACACCTCGTTCATTTTCTTTTTAACTTGCCATATTTTCGAGTTTGCTAGTGAAGCTCGCTTTATTAACTGGATGCAAGATGCCTCACTGGAAAGACGACCTTCAGTATCCTGTACGTGTCCTGAAGGGTTCAGATTCTCCCATCACATGGCTTCTAAACTGGTTCATAGGCTGTGTCCCAAAACTAATGTTATACGGGCCTTAAACTCAGATTTCAAGGTGAGCACAGGAAAAAGTTCCACCTTGACTTTTTAGTGTCAAAACCTGTAGCGAAATCAATGGCCTGGTAATGGAGAAGTTCCCTAAGAGGCACTTGTTGAATGACTGATGAGCAAACTATTGCTTGTGAGCCCTTCAGTTATGTGGATAGCACAACAAATTAATAATAGAGTGCTGGGAGCGTCCAAATGACATCATTGGTTTTGCATGAAAGTGGCATGCATGGAGAATCAGCTGCTGCCTGAAGGCGTTCATGCATACTGACCATTTAATGTGGCTATAATATCTACACCTGTTCTTCACGGATGTGCAAAGCCTGATCCAAGTAGTGAAGAAATTCCCATGTGTTATAACTGTGGAGATGCATTCTTTATCTTGCTTCTTTCTCTACCCACTCCATCATCCCCTCTCTCTCTCAGTATCAGCAGTACCCTGATGGAGATGGAAAGCACAGTGTCCAGTGGACGCTCCACCCCTGCTATGATGAACGGACAGAACAGCACTAGCTCCTCTGGGGCCAAGACGGTGGCTTACGCCTGCTGCTGGGACCTCTGTCCACAGTGCTTCAACTCTAGTCCTGACCTGGCAGAGCATATCAGGGGCATTCATGTAGATGGGCAGAGAGGAGGGGTGCCTTACCTACTCTCTCGGCAGTGTGTTGTTTTACTATGCCCCAATTTTTTCTTATTTTTTTCTTTTACGCTTCTCCCCATGTATTATCTTTTTATTTAATCCTATGACTCCTATATAAACCCCTTCTCTGTCTGTGTTCCTCAGGTGTTTGTGTGTCTGTGGAAGGGTTGTAAGGTGTATAACACACCGTCCACCAGTCAGAGTTGGCTCCAGAGACATATGCTGACACATAGTGGAGATAAACCCTTCAAGGTAAAACTCAGACATGATGTGCTAACCTGTGGTTAATAGAGTTTTGGTTGTGTGTGTTTCAGTGTCTGTGACCATACACTATGTGTCAGTGACCCAAAACTCACATAGCAAGTATGTCATATTTTCTGCATCTTTGTGCTCTGAGGCAGTGTGTAGTTGGCGGTTGCAACGCCAGCTTTGCTTCCCAAGGAGGGCTGGCTCGCCATGTGCCCAGTCACTTCAGCCAGCAGAGCTCCTCTAAAATGTCCAGCCAGGCTAAACTCAAGGAGGAGTTACCCTCCAAGGCTGGGCTCAACAAGAGGAAGAAACTCAAGAACAAACGCAGGTGCTCCCTACGTACGTACCTAACAGGCACACAGACTAACTTTATTTCAAAATGTTTTCACTTTTTTTTGTGAAGATTGCAAGCTGGATGCATTTTGGTAGTGCCTTTTATGCTGTGCTCATACAGATGTTTGTAGGTTCTAACTGCCCACATCTCTTTTGTTTCTGCACCACACATACATTAAGACAGGAGCATATGGTTTTGCTAGGTAGACAGATTGGCACGGTTCTGTATTTTAGAGAACAATGTTTGATTTTTTTCTTGTGTTTTTTAGGAGGTGTGTCTGTGCTCAGGAAGATTCTGATCATTACTGATGAATACTAATAGCTTTCTAGAGGTCAATATTTTTGCAATACCCATTCCCTGTTGATTGCTGTCTTTGTTGCAAGTCCAGGAACTATATGTATCCACTGAGTCTCTTATGTCACAGTGACGTGCAACGTCTGCAGTAACGAGGCTGATGATGGGAATATGTTTTATTCACCTAAATGCACTTATTTATTGTATGACAGATGTACTGTGTATTTGACTGTAAAATGCATTGCATAGGCCTGAGGCTAAACTCTTGAATAAATGGATTTTCTAATAACTTCAAATGTTAAAATATGTTGTGGCCTCAAGACAGAACCCTGCTGTTATATTTATTTGACTCTGCTCTCTTCTGAGTCTGTCCTTCTTCTCCACCAGCGAGGCCCCATGACTTCTTTGATGCTCAAACCATGGACGCTATTCGCCACAGGGCCATCTGTCTCAACCTTGCCACCCACATTGAAAGTGTGGGCAACGGCCACAGTGTGGTCTTTCACAGCACGGTGAGTGCTTCACTACTCATGTATGTCATGTAGTGTTAGCCTCTGGCTACCGGTTTATGGATTTATACACAATGAGTAGCAGCTGGTACACAGAGATCAGGGATAAAAGGTGGCATTCTGATTTTTGTACAAAGTCTTGGAGTTGTACAGGAGGTATTATATTGTAGCAGGAGAAGCAAAAGCCAAAGCATGAACAGCTGACTGTTGGCTTTTTTTTTTTTAAATATGTAAAGACTGTAGTTGATTCTGTTTTATGTTTAAATTGAATTCTGGGATGATTTCTGTATTAAAGAAGGTTAACAGTAATGAGATTTTGGAATGGCAGATTTGTTTTGAAGGACTGCTATTTTTATTTGGTTCCACTAGGGGGCACTCTGCCTCTTGTTTAAGACCCTCAGTTGCATGATTGTGTCATTTTTGCCTCTAAACTGGAGGAATATAATCATCTAGACCTGCTTTCTACCTTTTTCACCCTCACAAACAAACAAAATGCCCTCTTGTTTCTTCTTCTCCTGTTGAGTTTACCTCTAAGTGCCTGCTGTCAATAGCTGCTGCTAAACATTTCAACACTTGATTATGCCTCCAGGTGTATCGTCCTTGAATTACATGAGACCAAACCCCTCAGATCTATAAAAGACAAACTTTTTCAGTTTTCATTTATAGCTTGCTTGCAGAATAATTAAAATACACAACAGAAATGTACAGAACAAAATCATTTTACTGTACAAGATAATTTTCATAATATGATATAAAGTCATTGAACTACAAAAACATTTTAGTTCCAGGTAGACAAAAGAGATTAGTTGATCCAATCGCGACGTTTTAAATTTGAAGTGGGCCACACTGGGTCAGAGATAGAGATGCAGGTTATACAGGCATTTTTAATGCATGCATGTACATTTTCAGCATGCAAACAGAAAACAATTAAGCCATGTTTTGCATCTGTTTCCCATTAAAATTTGTTATACTTTTGCCACTTTGATATTGTAGCTAACTGTTTGGAGCTTTGGACACACTCTGTTAAATGTTCATGTCCTCACTACAGCATTGTTCTTGCTCTCAGCTCAGCCCATTTCCACTCATTTCTGCTTTGCGCTGCTCCTACAAACCTCATCTGCTCATGAGCAGCCAAGACTTTTAAAAGAAAAGCTCAGGGGAAAAAAAGTGAAGATAAAGCTTGGGAAGAGGTTAAGAGAGGTAACTGCAAATTTGGACACAGACTGAGAAGGAGGAAACACCAGCCAGGGGAGGGAGAGCAACAAATGGTGAGAATCTGAGATGTGGAGGAAAAGAACAAGGGAATGAAAGTTGAGTAAAGGTCAGGGTCATGGAATCGGAAGGAGATCTGGCCAGATGGGCACACATTCTAATGCTCTGTAACCCCTGGAGGATTGTGGTGGAGAAGAGCTGCAGTGGTGCGTCAGACCCCAGGCCCCAGTGGACCCTCCCAAGCCTGGGGAGATGAAGCAGAGCCATGGGGGTTCTGTGGAGTTTGGCCAGTGGGTCTGCTGACACACCAGAGTAATCCAGTCATGTTTATGATGGGATACTTTTGTTATTGTGCTAATCTGCGTCATCCACAGCTTGATCCCCTGACACTTGACAGGCACCCAGTTTTAGCAGGCCTGCCCTCCCCCAGATTTAGTCCTGCAGTTTTCATTGCCTTGTTTTGGAGCCACACTAATGTCCACTGTTCACTCCCTGTTTCCTCCCTCCCTCCCTATCTTGGGTCTATAGAGAATTAAAGTCTGTTCCTTAAAACACCATCAGCCTGATGGTGGCAGCATGAAAGTGTGGGGGGTGCTTTTCAGCAGTAGGGACAGAGAGGCTGAATGAATGCAGAGAGGTCCTTGAAGAAAGCCTGCTCCGGAGTGCAGTGCGACCTGAGACTGGTGTGACTGTTCATCTTCCAGCACAACAAAGACCTAAACATACTGCCAAGAAAAGACTGGATTGGCTTTTGTGTCTGAGTGGCCCAGCAAAAACTCAGATTTAAACCCCAGAGAAGATCTGTGGAGTGATCTGAAGATGGCAGTTTACAGATGCTTTCTGTCCATTTTGACAGAGCTTGACAGGGTCTGCCAGAGTCTGTTAAAGCCTGAGATTTTCCAAGTCATTTTTCTCATTGTCATTACTCCTGCTCCTACTGCTGCTTTGCTCTTCCTACTTGTTCTCTTGTCCACTTTAAGGAGTTTTATATCTGAACCATATACTGCAGAAAAAAAGGTAACAACATGGTTAAATTATAGACTTGGCCAATAGTTGTAAAGCTTCTCATGGACAAATGTTAAGGCACAGTTAAGCAGAAGCAAGCCAACAAAAACAAAATTAATATCTGCAAATCTAAATTGAGTATTTCTTCCAAAAGGTTAAACAGTCTGTAACTACATAAATGTGTTTGTGTCCCTTATGCTTTCATCAGGACTTCTTCCAGACATCTCTTTACATGGAAACTTATCAAAATCTGTAGTGATAGCAAAATGGAGTGTGTGCTTTTGTATTATGTTAGCTTAGAGAAAGTATGGAAAGCTTTGTGCTCGACAGAAGGAAAAAACATGACTCTTGAGCATAAAAATATGCAACATTGTTATTTAGCTGAAAGGTGGGAGACTAGGTAAGCAGTAACAGGCGATTAAGAATGATTTTACATCTCTGCCTGTGTCTCTTATCTTGGTGGAGCCTCCTCCCTCCTGTCCTCAAACCAGTTTCCATCAGTGGTGCCGCCAGTCCCTAGAGTCACAAAAATAATTTCAGATATTCATGTGCGTAAGAGAAGTTCTTCACATGTGAGCTAATTCACTTTTCTAAAAATAGGCATTGCTCACAAAAAGGGCCATTTGACACACGAGGTTATAGCTGTGGCTATTTTTAACATTCCTGGTTATTTTTCAACCTTTTCTTTTCCGTACTGACAATATTTGTCTGAATTCCAGACCCGTTTTACTGTAAACTAGCACAGCGTGATGGATCACGTTATGTGTAAAAAGCACCAACTATTCAGGAACTCTGGTATTGTTTTAAGTGTATTTTCACAAGAAGACTTCGCAGTTTGTGGTTGTGTTGGCAGATTATGTTGTGAGCAGTCAAACCAGTTATCAGAACAAAGTGAACACGATGTGCCATGTTTCTGCAGCATACATTAAAGAGTGGGTGTTGGTCTACATCAGACACACATCTGTAAATCACCGAAGCATCTGGTGCTGACATATTCCACAGCAACAACAGTGACTTGGTTATGGTGAGAACTGCTCAGTGTGTACCCCATGTCCACCTTTGTGGCTCTGAAGAATGTCAGCTGTGATAAATGGTTCTCTGTTAAGTCTAGCTACTTGGGATATATCAAACTTTTGTCTGACTTTAAATTTCTTGATCTTACAGTGTGTTGCAGCGGAATGTGGAATAGATCCTGTTGAAAATAGAAATCTCAATGAGCCCTCACATGCATTATTAAGAGTGCTCACATTGGTTATTCGTGTAATGAATGTTTGAAGCATGTAACCTCATTATTCTTTAGTGAGATGAATCTGGGATGGGGGCACGTCTTTGAAGCTGGTTCTGCACAGACTACAGAGAATACTGCAATATTAGCTAAAACTGATACATTTATGCACATTTCATGCCTGTGCCAAATGGCAGCAGGGAAACTGAGACAAACTGAGTGAAATCACAGCAAGAGGACAAGAGTATGTCATTTTCACTTAATATTTCTTCATGTATGTTATAGCCCAACTTATGTTGTGCTTGGTTGTCTCTGCAGGTGCTGGCCAGAAGGAAAGAGGGGTCTGGCAAGGTGAAGGTTCTCCTACACTGGACACCTGAGGACATGTGAGTAAGCTCCCCCTTCTTGTTGATGGTCCTTTTGTTGTGACAGCTCTCCTGCAAATAGTACATTTAGCAGTGTTGTGTTGTTTACTTTGGAACATTTCAGCTGGTCCACCATGTTTCTTTGCAACAGCATCACTAAGCAGAAAAGAAATTAAACAGACAACAGCGGTGAAAGTTTTGATAAGGTATTTGCTGTGGAGCTTAATAAATCTGGGTATTTTTACCAGCATTAAACCAGAAATTGCAATGCACCCTTAAGTGTTTTTATGTAAAGGATTTGGATGCATAATAAGTATGTCCACAAGCCTCATTAAAAATAAGCAGAGATTCACTTTGAGATTTATTTATTTACACTATAACCTTTTAAAATCTCAGTACAAGGAATTCAGGCCTCCACATAATATATATCACAACTAGCTCCTTTGCTTAAATTCCCAGAGCTCTTGTCAAAGGGAGCAGATGACATCAGTCATGCTTATCAGCTTGCATCCTCACTCAGTGTTATGATAACCCACATTCATGCCTGGAACCCTGATTGGGAGAGGACAGGACTTGGGCATTAAAGTTTATCTGTCTCTCCTGGGTCAGGCACTGGTTCTATACGATTTGCTTGGCTTGGTCTTGCACAGATCAACCTTGAACTGGTTCACTGAAGTTTCCTGAAACAGTGGATCAGCATCCAAAATTACTTGGAGGCTGATGTTCTTTTTTTGTCGCTTTCCAATATATTTTTCATCAATTCACAGTTTAAGTAATGTTTATCACAGTAATTTGGTGTAACCTCTGGATGAAATTGTACTAAAAAAATCATAACCTGTTGATTGGGGCATGAGCTGCTGTGCCCATTCCTCACTAGTTACATACCTTTTCCCATCTTAGCTTCAATAGGCTCAGTGCACTGAAAGAAAACCTTGGCTCCACCTAAACCCCAACTCATGTAAGCAGGTCAGCCAGGTTTGGCACTCTGCTTATGAAATGGGTCTATCTATGAAGCAAGAGTGCTTCATAGAGCATTGTGATTCTTAGTAGGACTCTAGTTTAGGGGAATCACATTTCAGCACTCCCACACTCCCATTAAGGAGTTTGACTGTGCAGCCTCTGAAGATGATCAGAAGAGACCAGAGAAAGGAACAATGAAGGAGTGGAGGAAGGGGTGCTAAGAAGGTGGCAGATGAGAAGCTGGCAGAAAGAGGTAAAAGGTGAATAAAGACAGGAGGGTGGGAACAAAGTCAAAGGAGACAAAGAAGAGGTTGGAAAACAAAGAAAAATGTGTGTAGTGAAGGAGCAAAGATGGCACTCTGCAAAGAAACCCAGATGATGCATCGTAAAGAAAACTGTGGCTGACAGCCATCGATGAACATTCCCTTGTTCTCTCAGGCTTTTGCTGTTGCATCCTCCCATCTTTCCACCTCTTCTTTCCTTTTCTCCTGTTTGATTCATGTCTGTAGTTTCCTCCACGACCCACATGTGGGAGTTTAATCTTGTGCATAGAGAAATAATGAGGGAAAGGGAGAGGAAGAGAAAGCTGAAGTTTGGTGATCAGGAAAGACTCGTCAGATTAATTCCAAGCCAAGAGACATAGATTGAGATTGATACTGAGACTCAAAGACACATAGTCAGAATGGACGGGGGAAGGAATGGGGTAGACAGGCAATTGAGAAATGGGAGTGGGAACAAAATGGCCGTGGGAGAGAGAAAGGTGGAGAAGAGGCAGAATGATGAAATTAGAGAGGATGAATGATTGGGAGAGAAATAACAGAAAGGTAGAGAACAAGAGTGAGGTGCCTTTTGCTTTGGTGCATGCAGGAGTTATCAGACAGTGACATTAACGGGTCCTATATTTGCCTCACAACAGGCGAGTGCTTTAGACACACATTATCAGTCTGAAGAGGGCCAGGGAGGAAAATAACTGTGATATCTTTAACTGTGAAGGTGGCTGTGTTATCTCCCAACAAATAAAAGCTTACCATTTTATCACATGCATAAGTATGCACAGTATGTATGCATGAATTCTTTGTTTTTTCCATCTTTTCTTACATATATGCATATAACTGACTGTCCCTCAGTTACTGTTGCTATTTCTGTCAAACTCTGACTGTTTACGCCATCGTGTCCGAGCAAATTCTCAATCATCCAGGTCGTAGTATGCTGAAAAAAAAACGTAGAAGAAATCATCTAGACGTAGTTTTAGGTAGTTTTCTGTTTATGCCATCCCATCTGAGATTGCACATACGCGGTTTGTAGTGGTAAGAGACTAACAGTATTTACCAACCAAAATTCTTAGCTTCATAGCATAGAAATGGTTGGTTCTTAATATTAAACTAAGGAGACAAAAGAAGCTTTTCATTTGCGCATGTGTCAGTGGTGGTGGCAAAGCATGTAATACTGCTCTTTCACTTTTCCCATACATTCTGCATTAAGCTGAGACAGCACTGTGCTTGGATTTTATAGCCAGAGTCAACCACTCTCACCTTTTGAACCTAGTCCTTTTACTGTTTTAACTGGCATCATGTCTTTTGTCATAAAATGTGAAGTTGCGCTAGCAGTGTAGCTACTTCTCAGAGCTCTTATCGTAATTCCATGAAATGAAAATGCAAACATGAGTGACTGCTGTTTGAAGTAATTTTATTACAAGAGGCTTGGTCATGAGCTTGACTGCTAGTGCTAATGCTAGCTGGTACTCAAAATTTTTGAGGGGACGCAGGTTTGGTGTACCAAAACCAATCAATGTGCTTCCCGTCTACCTTGGCACAGGCTACTGGCATCTTTTGTAACATATGTTGCTCTGCTTTTTATCCAGCTTTAAAAGTGCAAACCAAATCACTAATGTTGTATGACCTCTTTCTGGCAGAATCTCATTGTTCTTTGTGGCCCAGCACATGACAGCTAGGTGTCACCTTTGCTGTAATACAGGGATTACCCATGGTCCCTGACGTTTTACTGTGAAACCAACAAGGGAAATCCTCATTTTACTTCTAAATTGGTATAGTTGATTCTTTACACACTGTGCTTATAATGCTAATGATGGGGTGTGAAGAGCGGACATTTAACCAATCACGAGTGACTGCTGTGCGTGCACACACCTCCTCCCCCTTGCATTCCTGGAACTTGATTTTAGTACTGCCTCCTGAGGGGCGCTGAAATGTAGCTCCTGGAACGCACCTCCAAAGTGGGCACGCAACAATGGAAACAAACACAGAACACGTTATGGGCTTTACTCGCCTTGACACATTTTGGTAGGTTCCTATAATGGAAAAACCTCTTTAGTTACTGGGCTGCAAACCTTTTGAAATCCACACAAGCTGGATAGAGCTGCTAATTTTAGCATTAAATCTGATACTGTAGCTAGTAGTAGGTAGTAACTACTTACCTAGACATGCTAGCAATTGCAGTTTACAGCAGAAAAAGCATTGTTTAGACAATTTTATTCATTTTACTTTCTTTTTTAGTCTTTCCAAAATCAAAAAGACACCACCCTGTACACTCTTTAAATGTCAAGTATGTCTCTTACTAGTGCGTCATGCACACCACTTTGGTATGTGGAGGAGTTAAAAGTTAATATTTAGTCTGACTCAGCGTAATGTCCTAGTATGACAACATAATGTCCTAGTATGGTGCTCGTTTAGCCATTAGTGTCCATCAACATCAAGGTGTACGTGTATGTTTTTCAGTCACTGAGTCAATGATTAGCTATGTGAATGTGGGAAGTCATGTTTATTAATGCTGGAGCAAACCATTCCCATTATGTATGACACTCATTAACTGTATTTGGATTAATGGGTAACTGAGTAACTTGAACCTGCAGTTCACTCAGGGTTTTTTTTTTTAGGGGATTGGGTGGCAGGAGAATAACTGCTGTCTGATCTTTGAAGGATGGGTAAATGGATTCCCCTGTATGCTGTCAAACGCTTAAGAACAAACAGCGGATACACATTAGGTGACGGTGGACAACTCGAGCCACTAGATCCTTACTGACATTTTAGACAAACTACATGATGCTTCACAGGTTTATCGCAACCGAAATAACCTTGGAATTCGGTTGCGGTTTACTATGACCTGGATGACTGAGAATCTGCACAGATATGTTCACAGGTTTATGTCTAAAATTGTTAATAGCTAGTTTTGTAATTTTTTTTTTCTCTCAATGCTTTGTTTATATTTAGGCAGTTACCAAAGCGCTCAATGACAAGTCAGTGGGGTTCCCATGAGTAGCAGCGTTTCACTCTTTGGCCATATTGCCCAATGTGCACACAATGTAAAAAAAAAAAAAAAAAAGGTTTATTCTTAATTAGACTTAAACCACATCAGTTTTTGAACAAAATAGACATAATGAAGGCAATTCCAGGACTCCTCGTACAGTCTAAGCTTTTGGTAGCAAGAACTATTGGGTAAACCTGACATGTAATTTCTGGGTTGCAAGCGAGAGCAGACGTCTTTACTGCTCCTCTTGTCTGTTCTACACTTCAAGTCTTTGAACATACTTTACAACTACTAAAATGCGTCAAAGAGGGAAAAGAGCTAATAAATCAGAAGCGACTGAGCATATGGAGGCAGAAGAAATATATCACAGAGCGGCGCAAGTAATGGACATTGTGGATCATCAGAAACAGATGTACATCGCGCTGATGAACCAACAGCAGGAAAGCTTCAAAGGCTTCGTGCAACTAATTGAGACAAACAAGAGATTCGACGACATGACCAGAGAAATACAGGAGATAAACGAGTTTGCAGTTTACCCAGCAAGAGGTGGATGTGATTAAAGCTGCCATGGGTGAACAGAAAACACAAACCAAGGAAACGAGGGATCACGTCTACAAAACGTGTGAGAGTTTAATAACTATAACGGACAAAATGGAGTATCTGTAAGCACAGTCCAAGCGAAAAAACTTGATCTTTGAGGGAATCAAGGAGACAACTGGAGAAAGCTGGTCGGAAGCAGAATGTAAAGTGAAGGAGATTCTGAAGAATAATCTGCAAATTCATCAAGAAATTGAGATGGA